TTTTAGGCCCATGTCTCGCGGGAACAGTTCCTTTAAGTTAGTTTCCCAGGACGAGCCTATCAGCTATATCACAATTAGAGAGGCTTTTCGCAAGGACCTGAGAAGTTTCGGGGTTGACCCTTCCACTTTTGGTTTTTTATTCCTTGCGTTCGAGAGGGGCCACTTCCGCTGCTTATAATGGGATTAGTGACAGTGTGTTTCAGTGGCTCGGCCGCTGGAAGTCCGTTCTAGCCAAGGACGTATACCGATGATGACCTAGAAAAAAGGCTTTCGGCTTCTTGGGCTCTAGGAGCTTTCATTTGTCATTTCGCCCAATACTTTGCCATTCTACGTACTTTGTAGGGTTGGTTCTCGCCAAGCCGTCCCGAAATAAACTTATTTGCCATTACGTTTTGTCTGTTGATGTTGTGTAGTGGAGTCAAAATATGTTATTTCTGACGAATGAGCCCGCGAAGAAGACAGAAATAAATATTTTGACGGCACGAGATACAACAGGGCCTGGGTACTAGGCCGGGTGCACCATGGGTAGCCATATCGGGGGTATATAAGGCTGCGTATATCACGTGTACGTCATCTAGGCTTACGAACCACCCTCTCTTTGGTTTTTCTTTATTTTTGGTTTATTTATTTTTAGGAGCAACATATTCTCGACGACATTGTAAAGTCCCGTAGGAAGGGCTTTGAGCTTGAGCCTTGGTTCCTACCCAGATTTCCTGCCCGCATTTTTTTCCTTCGGGGTTTTTTTGGGCAGGTTTTTTCTGGCCTCCGTCTGACCGCATTTACTTCAGTTTGTAAGCGGTAGCTCAGCTCTGCTAGTTTTCAGTTTTTTCCCGTTTCTTATTTTATGTACTTGTACAGTTATCTTAGTTTTGCACCTGCTCCTTTACTTAATATATTTAGTTTCTATGTATGTCTAGGTCAGCTGTCCCGGAACCGCTCTTTAGGAGGCGACATAAGTCTCGTTTGATGCGGTTAGGTTGCAGGCAATGTTACAGACTTCTAGCCAGGGTCGTTATCGATTTGTTTACTTTCAATGTCCTGCCCTAGCCTTTTATGGCAGCCTTACTGGTTATTGGGCTACGTGTCTTGTTGGGTATATTAGTGGAGATAATTCCCAGTTTTCCTGGCACTCAGCCTCTGTGCTCCTGAAGTGTTCCCGGTCCCAGTTATCCGTTGATCAGAGTTTTATCAAATTTCCCCAGCCTAACTGGCACTAAGCCTGCGTGCTTCTTTGGGGGACTCAGGTCGAGATCGACCAGTTGTAGTAGATCTCTCTTTTGCTTAGCCTCTGTGCTCCTGCCGTGTTCCCTGTGCCAGTTATTCGTTGTCAGAGTTTTATTAATTAGTTTCCCCAGCCTAACTGGCACTAAGCCTGCGTGCTTATTTGGGGGATTTAGGTCGAGATCGACCAGTTATAGCAGTTTTTCTTTTTGCTTAGCCTCTGTGCTCCTACCGTGTTCCCTGTGCCAGCTATATGTTGTCAGAGTTTTATTAATTAGTTTCCCCAGAATAACTGGCAGCCTAACTGGCACTAAGCCTGCGTGCTTAACTGGGGGATTCAGGTCAAGAGCGACCATTTGTAGCACGAGTTTTTTTTTTTTTGTGAAAGCTAGTTTACGAGTGTTTTACATTAGGTATTCACCAGTAATCACCTATTATTGTCATTATTGTATTTACATAAGTACTTTGTAGGGTTGGTTCTCGCCAAGCCGTCCCAAAATAAACTTATTTGCTATTACGTTTTGTCTGTTGATGTTGTGTAGTGGAGTCAAAATACAGCATTCTTGTTCAGCACGCTTGCAATGACCGCGGTTGGCCGACTTCCGAATGCTCACCGAGAAATGACAATTTTGGTACGGTGAGACAGGCGATCGTGTGATACATAGAGGTATAACTCACGATTTTTAATCAATTCTCTTGCTTCTTGTGTCAAGAAAAAAAAAAATCAAGAAATGCTACACAGTCTCTTCTCCGTGAACTTCTCCCTGGCCCGAATAGCATTCAACACCCCGGCCATTTTCTTTTTAGAGTTTTTAATTCTCTGCAGGATGTACACTCAACTGGCTGGAGACGTTACGTAACGGGAATCCCTTCTATTTTCTCTTACTAAATTATCATATCTCGGTGAGCATTCGGAAGTTAGCCAACCGCGGTCATTGCACGCGTGCAGAACAAGAATGCTGTATCATGACAGACTAGAAACAACAGAAAACCCCCAAAGCACAAACTCAGCCAAAACGCTAAAAATCTTCAATGTTAACTCAAGTTTGGGCTTATAGAAGTTAATGTCACAGTTTTTCCATGACTCAGACCCCAAAGAGGCGTGGCACTATAACCACGTGGCATTTGCTCCGATCGCCGAAAATTTTTTTGTTGCATTTTAGATTGATCTATATGTTATCCTTGCTATGTGTTAGACTTACGATAGAACTAAAGGTAGGGATACCAGAGAGCTTCAAAGTAGGATGGTACCGTCACAAAATAACTGGGTCTAGTCACCTTAAGACCTTGGAGTTGCTTATTGACTCCGTTCACAAATATTTGAGATGTGCTTGGTACACTTAAGTTGATTGTCTACCCTGATACCGAGTAGGTCAATACTGTCATATTCATCAATTACTATTTCATTCGCAACAAAACAGAACCCTCATTTCTTGCTTCCTAATACTATAGTTTGAAATGTCTTCGGACTAGCCATTAAGCCATTCTCTCTAAACCAGTTGACCACAACCGTTAATTCATTATCGAGTCTCCTATTAAGTGCTACTTGCTCAGTGTCGGAGCAGTATAACTGCCGCTCACCAGCATAAGCATTAAGATAATCATGCATTAAACAAGGCCCCTGTATATGATTAGGTCCCCACCAGAGTCATCAAGGACTGTCTACCGCACATCGTGCCGGCCATCACACCTCTCATTAACTCCTAAGTGAAACCAGATTCGTGGAAAAGAAATAAATATATAAGCAACTACTGATAAAACGTGGAACAAAGATGTGTGTAATTCGGTCAGATTATGGGGCAAAAGTTGGCGCGAGGATTCATTGTTTTGGTAGCAAAGGCAGTTGTACAATTAGTTAAGACTTTCATCTGGGATTTCATTGTTATTACTTGTTGAATGCAGGGACTAAGAGAAAACTGCCCACAGCAACAATAATATTAAAATCATCAGAGTCTGTTGTTTCACGATATGGTTCCTTTGGGTGTAGATGGTATTTACATAAAATAGACAAGGCTGGCGCAGTGCTAAGAGAACCCCTTCCGCCAATGTGGCCTGGGTTCAAATCCCGGAGTCGACGACATTAATTTGGTTGAGTTGGTTGTCGGCTCTCTCCTCCCTTCCCCTAAAAACCAACATTTCGAAATTCCAATTCGACGGGGAATGGTAGACGAAGAACCGCTTTGGGGTGTGCTTCTCTGAATCTTTATTCATTTATTTATTTAAATAGACTGCATGGCGAGACAAACTCTAACACTGATTATAGTAGCATTTCTCTGGACAATCACTAACAGAACATTGAATTGTTGTGTATTGAGTATCCTAGTCTTGAGTGAAAGCGAGAATGAAGGTCACCTCACACTATTACAAATGTAAATACATACTCTTATGCGTAAAAATGACACCGAGTATTCTTTAAAAACAAAGCCATAGTTAGCCTTGCTTTCATTCAAAAAGGAGGTTACTAGGCATACAACCATAAAACTACAAGCAAGCTCAAATCTTAACCCTTGCGATTGGACACTATTTAAACCAACAAGAATAGTTTCTAGAATAGTAAGAACCGAAGAATAGTATAAATAAATCCCTTACTGTTGACTGATTTTTCACCAGTTAATCCAGGCTTGACCACCTTTCAGTTTACTAATAAGCCACGTGTGTAACCCCTATTAACCTGGTACTCAATACATTACCATATGGTTATGTGCATTAAAATAAATATAGATATTTGTTTTCGCCAGGAGATCACTGCCAAGTCACAACTTACATCTTTCGGTCGCTTATTTCATTATCGCGCACTTTCTGATGTGAGGTTTCTCTCATTCGTTGCTTTACTTAAAATCTATTAAATAAAGCGTGTTATTTATTTTAAACTACTTTTAGAACATATGAGCCGGGAAAAAAGTTTCCTTCCTTGACCAATCTTTTTAAAAACATCCGTAATGAACCAATTTTAATAAAGCAGACAGTGGGAACATATTGTCATGCAAAAACAAAGACAACCCAACAAGAAATACAATTTATCAACGTACATTGAACTCAGACAGTGCCGATTTCACTTAAAAGCCCAATTTAGTAATTGGTAAGGCACCTGGGGATAAGGTACGTTATCACTAAGAAATGAGCCTTAATCCATAGGTAACACTTAGGATATAGTCAAGCTACTAAAGGATGGGAAAATTCTTTGACAGTATACATTGTTTTTATTTGCTGTCAACTAGCTGTCCACTATGTTCTATCCTATGGCCAAATTCACTTTACTTTCAAATTAAGTCGAAAATTATTACAAATCCAAGCCTTCTTTAGCATGTTTTAAGTTTAGAATTTCAGTAGCGTCATAATGTACAGGGAATTCATGTTTTGGATGAAAAAGCTAGTTTAAAATTAAAGTGGCCAAGAACGAGCCTGTCTTTGAAGTGCCAATTTGAAATATTGCAACCAATAATGTTTCACCTCTTTATTCGTTAATTTTATAGTAATAAGCTTATAACATTTCAATGTTAAGGTATAAATTGTTAGAAGAATATGTATGCACTTTAAAATGTCTTAAAATGTAGGTGCTCTTGATCGTCTTGCGTTCCAATTATCTGAAAACTTTTCTTAGATCGTTCCTTTCCTCAGAATTCTGTTCATTTTTTTCGCTTCACCTTCATTTAACGGAATAAACTTTTTTTTTTTATTTTTTTCAATACGTAAAAATGAATAGCCACTCATTTATTATTAAAGTCTGTCTTTTACGCAAATTTATAAAGTCTGCACGGGTATTTTACATTTCTTCCTCTGCGGTAATCCGTTTTTGTTTTTCATGCACAGCTACAGACGGCAAGGTGAGTTTAACTATACAATGTAGTTGAGTGTTGTCTTGTGTATAAAAGGAATCATTCTCTTTTACTTGTTTACCTTTTTCAGTATCATGATACAAATACATCAAGGAATCACACACCATCCAATTGGCAATGAATCTCTTTGGTCTCGATTTTAAAGCTGTCAATAAAGAAACAAACCGGTGTCGAAATAAACTGGATTTTTTTTGTAGAAAATTACTCGAAAGTACAGAGCAGAATAAAAATGCTCTTTATTATTACAAACAAGGAACACTTCAGGACATCTTTTTATCTCATCATATGTTCAAATGATTTAAATCAACTTTGCCTTAATTCACTCTTCAAGAACGTTCAATTCAACCTTACTAAAACAGCACTTTAAAAGAAATGAATATTGCTTGGTTCGAAAATGCGCACTTACTGTATAAAGTTACGGCCATGAACAAATTAATTATTAATCCGTAGCGTTACAGTCTTATGATAAATGTTATCAATTTTCCTTCCTAAACGAATCAACATTATTCTGTGAAATGAAATTTAAGGCGATTGATTATTTTGGCAATGAAACTTTCCTAAACGTAAATCGAAGGGCAGGATAGCTGCCAAAAAAGATGATCATACATGCGCATTCTGTGGCAACATGATTTTTTGAATTTAAAAATTAGTGACAGAAATATTAGAACAATATTATAATTGTGCGCCGGTAAAAACAACGTAAATCTGACCTACGGCCCTTTGCGTGTTACAGGGAGAAAAAACATTCTGCACTTTGTTCTACAAACTGAATTAAAAGAATCTAATGGCTTTTTCGTGCTACCTCAGTTCAATCCCGATACAATGCAAATGGCAATTGTGGTAAAATGTTCTCAAATAAGACGAAAACTATATTTTTTTTTCCGGTTCATGATTTGTCAAAACTGAACCTTGAGCAGTAAGAAAAAATAAAACTGACGCAAAAACATGTCAGTGGATTTGAGTAATCATCCTATATTTGTCGTCGCTTTTAATAACGTGTCATCTTGGAGGCTTTACCATCTTTGGTGCTAAATCGCTTACAAGTTCACCTCGTTCTGTAATAATTAAGAATCAGTATTCGTATGGATAAATATTAAAATTTGACTGAACACAACATTAACACGGCTTCAAGGCTGTTTGACAAGAGCTTCGAGATCATTGCATCATTACACTGACAAAAACTGAGGTCAACAGTGCGCTCATTTCACAAAATTTGGGCAGTATACTTAGAAAATACTGGATTGAATATGAGTGACTGATTTTAGTAATTGGCCTTCTATGGCCGCTATAATTTTCCCTTCAGTAAAAGTTTATCACACTTGGAAATGTCTGTTTTAATTGAATCATAAGCCGTAAACATCAAGACGTCGGCTTTACAACCACTTTCTCGTTTCATTTGAACGGACGCAGCCTTCGTCGAACGATTAAGAAGTTAGAAGTACATTGCGTGTCGCTGTAACTGAATCTGAAAGCACATGAGTTAATTGGGAAAAAAATGTATCCTAGCAAGTCGTCATGTTATTACCTCTGTTAAATCTAGGAAAGCTGGTTTGTGTTTCTTACGGATTTTGTTAAGGGGGCTGTGTCACGAAATTTATTAAATTCATACGGTGGGAACTCCCGCCAAATCGAGTGAAATATAAAAATAACAGCTTAAAACGTCAATAGAAGGTATAAATAACACAGCATATACAAAAGAAAGCACGAATGGATAACTTGAGTTCAAGGAAGATTAAACCAGATTACAACTAGGGTTTTTGAAAACTTGTTAGCCTAACAGTTTTCAAAGTTCATTTTTGGTGTTTGTAACGTCTCATATTATGCTTGGGAGACATATTTGCTTGACAAGTAGTTTTCAATTTATCATTTGCCACGAATATCTTCGCTTGTGTTAAGTTCCATTACAAATAAGGACGAGAATTGGGCAAAATGTACAAAATGAATTACACAGCCGTGACACAGGCCCTTCAACGTAAAGGGTTGAAAGGGACTCAAGCTTATATTTTGAAAAAATGAAAAGAGGCGATAACTGTGCTTTTTAGGATGGGTTTCTTTGGGAGAAAGCAATCCGTTTTAACCCTGTTCAGTTTTGGGCATCTGTGTCACACTGTTCGACTCAACTACTGGTAAGTGATCTTTTTATAAGAGTACGAGAATTGTGACCTAAGAAGCTTTAAACATTTCTGGCATATATTCATTCAGTTGAAGATATCTGCCTTTCATTTCAGAGCAACGATGGCCATATTTGTTGGCTGTTCATACTTCTGCATTGTTGTGCTCCTACTTTTCAACACAGTGTCTGGACAATGGTAAGCACAAATGGACTATTTTAAATACTCAATACATAAAAGATGATACTTCTTCTTTGCCTAGAAATTAAAAGCTTCTCAGAACGTTTTTAATCTAGAGACTGTGTATGCCATGTTAAACATTCTGAGAAAGGGTGTAGTTTAAGAAGGACGATTCAGTAAAACTGACGCGGATTTTTGCCCTGAGTATCCTGAAAAGTCTCACATCCTCATTTTCTACAGGTTCATCACGAATTCACAACAACATTACCAACCTCAGTTAGCTTAATATAGCTCAGATAGCAAGCACCGGTATGGCACATCTAATGGGTTCGAACCTGTTCAAGGCCGAGTTACTTTCAGGCTTTTTTTTGCACGGGCTTAAGTTCCTTACATAAATGGGATGATATTTCACGTGTTAAACAAGATACACTTGCGCATAGCTGGTGAAGAAAATTTCATTCTACAAAGCACGACCTAACCATAACGGTTTTCAAAGTAGTATCTTTTAGGAAGGTACAGACAGCACAGTATTTTGGAAGTACAATGACAAAGTCTTGGTCGCATTAAAAACTCATTACTTGGCTCACTAATTTACAATGAATTTGTCTCACCTTTCTTTACCTGCTGATATGTCGATCTCGTAATAAAATAATAATCTTCAATTTCCATTATAAACAGCTCACGCAAGCAAAACAGCAGCTCTACATCTGTATTAGCGAAGTTATTTTCTGATTATGATGAAGTCGTTCGTCCTGGATTTGGGGGTAAGTGTCTCAATCTGCACATATCCTGTGGCTCAAAAGTCCGGTGACTTTTCGGGCCTGAAAGCATTTATTCAAATCAAAATCGAAAGAATATGAGTGCGGATACTAGCTTACAAGCCAGTCCATTATGTTTCGTTAACTGATACATGTAGTTTTTTTATCATATTTTCTGCAAAACTATTGAAATCTCGATCTTCAATGTAAACAAGAACAGCTTTCCGTGCCCGTTAATTATCGGGGTTTTGGATAAAGGAGGCCTACAGAAAGAAAGGTTACGCCATACAAAAATCGTCTTTGGTTTTTTCCGCCATCACGCGCAGTTTTGAAATATTTGGAAGAATATTCCACGTCAAACGAAAGAGAATCTTCAAATATGTTTAGCAGGAGTTTCTTACCAGCGAGAACAACAATATATCCAAACAAGAAGTGTTCTTCAAACAGAAAATTACATAAACTAGAAAAACTGTCAAGGCAAACAAGCACCAACACTACGGGGAACGATTGTCGCTTTTCTTCCCTATTTATCCTCAAATACAAATTAATTCACTTTTACCTTGTGTCTGTATGCTATATGCACGAGAATTCGCCATTTTCACATAGACCATAACGCATCTTGTTAACCCCCCAAATTTTGCATAACATTTGTTTCCAATTTCTCCTGGGTATTACAGTCGTCCCAAGAGAAACCGAAGACAATGGTTATGCAACATTTTGGGGGGTGAACAAGGTGCATTATGGTCTATGTGAAAATGGTGAATTATGGATTGAATAATTAGTATCTATGGAAATTTTTGTTTCCTATTTTGACGTCACTTGGAAATTCAGTTGTTGAAGTGTAGTGGCCTAGCGGTTAACATTTCGAATTTCGACTCATTTAGGTTCGATTTGAAGCCTTGCCGTCGCATTGCTTCCTTCGACAATGCAAGATACTTTATTCAATTTCTCTTTACTAAAGTGTATAAATGGAATAAAGTATGAACATTAACCACAAAGGACTTCAAACGAATATGCCGCAGAATGTAGGATCTATTAAGACTTGATCAGCAAAAATAACAACCGCAGTCTATGGCTACAATCCCGCTCTGTTTTGGGTTCTTTCGATGTCGTGTTGCAAAGTTAATTTTCACGTAGTACGATCAGCATTGCAGTGTTCTGCTTGCAGAAGTTAATATGTCTACTTGTATAAATGCAAACTGGCACTGGTGACATACTGCTGGGGGGAGAATCCGTGATAGACTCGCGTGTCATCTGAGAGATGCTTCACGATACAGAATGAACCGGATTAAGCCCCTGCTATATGAACGCTATTAGCTCGTCTTGCCTTTTACTTTAACAGGTGATTGATAACTGAACAGACACACGATAAGGTGGAATTTATCCGATTAATACTGTACATGTTCAATGAACCTTGTATTGTCTACTCTACTGCCGTTTTCAGCTATTCTGAGCGATGCAGGTTCATAAATCAAAGAATCACTTTCACGATTTTACTTTAAATCTGTAGGTCAGGCAGTGGAGATTGTGACAGATCTTTACGTCGAATCCTTTGGAAATATACATGAAGCAAACATGGTAACTCCGAAAGGATCTTTTCATCATCATCATCATTATCATCATCACCACTATTAATTAATTAGTTTATTTATTTTTAACTGTCACCTTTAATAAATGGTAACGATTTCTTGATTGTGAAGCGAAAAAACAGCAGCATAAAGCATTGAAGATATACTCCTAAAGACTAAATAAATAAATGTAGCGTGCGTCTGAGCAAAAACTGCGGCACGATATTCCAGAAATGTAGAAATGTAAAAATGTATTTACGGTAGAACTAGTAGGACGAACGAACAAGCAATTACTAACGGGCGGTCAAGGGCCCAACTTGACTACCAGTTCACCTCTACTAAATGTTTCTCTTTGTTTATTGGTACCATTTCAAAACACTTACTACATCACTCTGGGTATTTTTTTTATTGTCGCCAATTTCTCTTCTTTATTTAACTTTTAGGTTTGTCAAACCATTATTAACTGCCAGTTGTCCATAAAGAACGACCGGTTTATATACGTTTGAATGTAATCTATCTTTCTCCGTTACTTTAATAGGAGTTTAAGGTTTACGGATATTTGCGACAGCGATGGAAAGACGAAAGGCTTGCCGGGAAGCTTGAAAAAACATTGACCATCAAAGGAGAGAATATAAACCGAGTCTGGTTACCAGATCCTTTCTGCTACAACGCAAGAGACTCCAACTTAATGCTCCCAGATTCTGCAGTACACAGCAAAGTTTCAATTGGCCTGGATGGCAATATTTTATACACAAGAGGGTTGGATAAAAGTTCATTACTATTTGAAACTTTTTGTACAGACTTCTTCAGTCACAAATCAAAATTCCAGTAAACTTATATTAAAGAAGCATCTTCGTAAAATGCTTGAAAGCTATCATTTCATTGAAAACAATTACAATAAGCAGACTCTAAAGCTTTTTTGGTAAAAAAACGACTTTGGTATTTAGAAGGGTCAAGCAAATATAACAGGATATTCCATTTTTTATAGCGATCTATTTTAACCTATCTATTTCGACATTGCATATCTCCAACACGCTATTTTACACTGTACGTGCATAGAAAGCTTTAAGGTCTTGTAACTCACAAACGTTATGCACTCATGTATACCAGAGAAATTTGACACCAATTCTTACAATGTCTATTGATTGATTTTTTTCAGGGTGACCTTTCTGGCATCGTGTGGAATGGAACTTCATCATTTCCCGTTTGACTCCCAGGAATGTTTTCTTAAAATTGGAAGCTGTAAGCAACTTGTTTGAGTGGGATGTAGACTAACATAAGCACAGTTGTTCATTAAATATCGTGAATTGTCGGCTATACGCCCCGCCCCAACCACCTACTTTTAGGCCCCCATCTGGCTTGTATTGAAATGAATTCAGTTTATTATTAGCACTGCAGTGTTATGGCTTGTGTCTAAGCGCTTATTCTATTCCCGGTAAATGCCTGCTCGGATATAGGCCCTTCTAAATTTCCTTCTGAAGATGTATAAGCCCAGGCTTATAAGCTCCGGTCTACGGTATTCCAACATGAGCAATGAACAAACCATCGCGGTTTCTTTCTCAACAAAAAACCTACAATTAAGTTGTATGGCAATGTCTCTATTGATTTAAACCGGGGGGGGGGGGTAAAATGATGTAACTTCAGAGAAGTCATTGACGCACAATTTAAGGATTAAAAAACGCAACAAAGTTGTCGCTCAATTGTCCGTGAAACACATTCTACCTATTACGTAATCTTCCAATTGGGTTGGATTAATAGGCCTTTCCATGGGCCATTTTCGAATAATTAAAACTTATACTTGGCTTCGAGGCTGGGGAGAATCAATTAAACGAATTGAATTATTCATTTCATTTTTATTCATTTCTTTTGTTAGAAATCCCTCAGCCTCGAAGCAAAGTTAGCCTGTTTCTGTACCAGAGATAGTAGGGTCCTCGAAATTGAGAAAATGCGATCACGAAAATAAAACGAGAGGAAACTGGGAAGAGGAAGGGCGGCGGAGCCTGTAATTATTTCTTTAAAAGGCTAGTTCGGGTATACTAGCTCCTGGTATAGCCTTTGATTGGTCAGTTTTGACAGTTAGCGTTGCATGAGTCATTATCTACCTTCCGTAAGACAACAAACGCGGATCACGTGTGTTATTTTGATGAATACAGGCTACAGCGTCTCCTAGTGACCTGCGAGATTTTCGGGACTTAAAGGATGTTAAAAAGAGCAGAAAACTTGACTGTCTTCCGAGCTTGGCTCACGGACCTACATTATTTTAGTAGTACTTTAGAGCTCTTCCAACGCCTGGAAAAAGCCGTCGACATTTCATAGAAATCTACAATATTAGTAAAATCCAACTAGTGGTCTATTATCAATGCTGCGTTCTGATTGGTTGAGCTACCACTAGGCTATATGTTATAGCCCACCAGTAGCGAAAAGCGCGGGCTTTTTGGCGGCAAAAAAGGAGTTAAGTCTAGCTTCAACTAGCTAAATTTTTTTTATTCTCGATATTTTTGACCAACCAGTTGGATTTTACTCTCAATAGCTATTGACTCAGAGCCCATTCGGGCTCGAGGAATAATTGTTAAATAGTCCTTTCGCCGCTCATCTATGGATAATATGAGACCAAGCAGGCCAAGCAGAGCGTGGATTTTAAGTTTCAGTCATTTGAATCGGTGAAGAAGTAGAGGAGGATACGAAGAAAGCGAGAGATGGCAAATGCTAGTTCAAAAGTAATTCATGCCAAATCCAAACCTTATTGAATGAAAACATACTCGTCCCACCACAAGCTAAATGGCATGGAGGCCTGAAAATATCAACATAGGCTTTGTCGGATATTATCAATTATCAGAAAAAAAATCTCACTGAACAGTTCGTAAAACGCGGTAGCGCACAAGTTTTAATTGAGTTTACTTGGAACGATGGATTGGGAGATTTGCAGAGGCTATTTTAAAACTGGAATTAGAACACATTTAAAATTTCGCACATTAACGGAGTTCGAGTAGCGCGAAGAACTCGCATAATTCTAGAAAATTAAAGTTTTAACAGTTTGACAGCCGAATCCAGACGTGAGAAAAATGGGCGGAAGAGGATTGTGGAAGAAGTGATCACAAACTCTCTGTCCCTTCCTTTTTCCCGTCACCGCCTCCCTTTGTCCAGATGACACGCTCATATTTTAACGTGGGTTTCATTTACGTGTCATCCCTGCTATCTGCTATCTGAGTGCCAGTAACAGGCTAAAGCCAAGTATTAAATTGAATAATTCCAAGCTGAACTATTTGACACGGATTGAAAATTCAAGACCTGAGAAACATTTGCGTTTTTGGCTTTCGTCAACCATAATCACGAACACCAACAACGAACCTTTAAATAAAAGGAACAAAGAGAATGAATAAGAATCTACCAATCACAACTTATGGGCAACTAGCGACTGGAGAGAAACACGACACCTTTGATTGCACAGAGTTTGGGTGTTTGTACTGAAAACTGCGGTGGTATATCAGTTAAGAGTTTAGAACACCAACTAAATAATAAAACGTTCCCCTATTTCCTTAGACGCCTATACAATTGAAGATATAACATACAAGTGGAAATACAATAACATAGAAGTGGGGGCAACTCGAACAGCGCAGTTTGACGTCTATAAAGGATCACTCTCGTCATCAGTGGACAGCTATAAAACAGGTAGGGTTTTTCTAAAAGTTGGTGGAGGAAAAGGACTTTTATAAAGGGGTCAAGAGTACACCGGAATCAAACGTTTTTCGATATGAAACGTGGAGAAGGATGTATACGATTAGTAATTCATACAAAAAGAATTCATTTTTCTCTTTTTAATTTTTTCTCCTTGACGGAACCGCCAAAGATGAAAGACGACTATCGATTTGTAAATTCGGACGGCCTACTAGCCCGATTGCCGATGATTACACTAAAAAAAAATAAAATCTTATCTATTTAAAAACCGGTATTGGGACTAAACGGTAATCAAGAGTCATTCGGTTTTCTAAACCGCGCTGACAACAGAAAATCGATCAATTCAGGTTTCTGGAAAACTGTCCACCCACCCCTCCCCACCCTAAAGCCAAAATTTTGCCTGAGTGAGGAGTACGTGTTAATGCCGACTTTGGGGAGGGGTAAGTGGGCAGTTTTCCGGAAACCAAAATTGATCCGGAAAAACTGTAAATTCCAGGTGACTTTTCAACAATAACAGTGACATATTTCCTCAAGCGACATATTGGCTACTACCTCATCCAAGTCTATTTCCCTGACATTTTTGTTGTGGCGCTAAGCTGGATTGTTTTCTGGATGGACAAAAATGACATGGGCAACAGAATGGCTATTGGCATCACCACTATCTTGACTATAACGTTCCTACTTGGATCTCTCAATGGTTTCATGCCCCGAGTAAGCTACCCAAAGGCTTTAGACTGGTATTTACTGGTGTCGTTTACACTGACGTTCTTATCACTAGTGGAATGCATGATCGTGTTTGTTGTCTCCATGAGTGAAAACAAAGAACACGATGACCAGGTTTGCTTAATTGTTTTTGTGTCTTTGTATTTCTTAGGCCCCGTCTATATGTATCTGTTCTTGTCAGAAAATAGAGATTTTTTATCCCTTTCCAAAAAAAAAACCGTTCACACCTTGTGCTTTATAATCCTTTTTGCCCGTCCACACGAAAACCCAATAGCGACCGAAAATGGTACCCACCTTGATGGGAACATGCGCATTCACTGGCAACTGAGCCTGTGACGAAATATTTTTCAAAAACCTCTGTTTTCATTCACCCACACAAGCACAGGAAAACATCGTTTCCAAAATCTCCACACTAGAGGGCGTTTTTTTAAAAGATGCGTTTTTGGAGACTGTTTACACTGGAAACGTGCGGATGGTGGGCCAAACCGGAGAAAAAAATTTCCATTTTCAAACAGAAACTGATACGTGTAGACGGTGGGATGTAAAGAAGAGGCAGTTAAACGGCCACAAAACGAACTTACACTGTGGCTACAAAAGTTGAAAAAAAAAAGACTGCTGAAGTGTGAAAACTGCTCGTTTACAAGACTGTGTAATCGTTATTTTCTTGACATGTGGCTGAAAAAAATTATAAACTTCATGACATTTTTCACCTTTTGCGTTTTCTAAACAATTATCCAGCTTTTTCACCATATGTACAGAAATTATACTGAGTCTATCCCACAAAGCAATAATAACATTTTTCGTGTGCAGACTTCTTCTATTTCCTTTGATAGAAAAGAAGGAAAGTCATTATGACTGCTTTGAAAAATGTAATTGACCACGTCATCACATAATTAGTAACACTACTTTAACAATCTGGTTCTGCTTTTAATATTATTAGATCTACTACACTGCAAGTGTTCACGATATTGAAATGTTTCACTGATCCATGAAAATAAAATAATATCATTTTATTATTTTGTGAAACAATTTGTTTCAGGTCAGTTTGCCCAGTATAGACCAGTATAATGACCCTAATGGAACCTAATTCACTCATTTTCCTCACCCTAATCAGCAACTACTTCAAAGTCGTACAGTGGCCATTTGTCTTTCTGCGAAATACCCCTGATGACCCTTTCCTGAATCAAAACCATTGGACTGCATTGAATGCAACATTCTCACTCACTACAGATCCTCAATTAACCCCCCACCCCCCTAACAATGAGATCCCAAACCCCTTCCTTTTGAAGGAAAATGTCGTACAATAATCAAAGTACCTCTTCATGGGCACGAAACGTTTGGTGCAATTCATACCATACAATATCGCTGTATCAAGTACTGTTCTCGGTGCAGGAGGAGGGGGTACTATAATGGCCTAAACAGAGCCTGAAGCCTTTTTCAGGCTTCAGGTACATGAAAGGGAAGGGGTTTTTATAGTTGAAGTATATGAAAGGGACCAAAACGAGATCAGTCACAGATGCATTTTATGGATGTGAGAGACAAGAAAACCTGTTTTAGCTGTTTATTCATATTGTAAAGATGGTGTATTTACAGCAGTTAAAAAGGGAAGCAGCGTTCAAAATTAGGTATGTGAAAGGGGTACCATTTGTCACTAGAGGGTATACAAAAGGGGTACCTTTTCTGTCTAAACAAAGGGTAAAGGGTTGGTCCCTGGGGCAGAGCCTCTTTGGTGAGTACCCCCCCCCCCCTCTGGGTTACTGTTACTCTGGTCTGATTCTTCTCTTTAATTTCTTGGATACTGTGCTTCATTAAATGAATTAAAATTCATTTAAAAGCGTCTTGCCCCTTTTTTGAAAACCCCACTATGTTAAAAGAAATTATGTCCCCTGGAGGGGAAATAAAATCAGAGAAAATGGGTAGCAAGATCTATTGTGTTATTTTACATGCATTGAGTAAGCGTAATGTGGCCACTAAACACATACAGTTGCGCTCCCCGTTCCCCGTTTTAGTAACATCCGTTTACAAGACTGTGTATCTCGACATGTGGCTAAAAAATTCTAAAGGGTCTTATTACAGCTTTTTCCCGAAATTATTCTTAAGCATTTTTTCGTTTCTGTTCACTACAACGGAAAAAAAAAACATTTAAAGCAAATAAGTCGATTTCGAATTATTAAAATTTATACTTGGCTCCGAGGAGGCAGAAGGGCCATAAACAAAGGTGAAAAATCTCATTGAGATTCAGAAAAGAATAATCCATTCCTTTTGTTTTCTTTTAATTCGAAACTGGCCTAGTCAAAACACTCTTACGCAGAAGACATTAAATACTTTTAAAAAAGTATGCAATTATAAAGAAGACAAGAACTACAGTGTATGGGAAAAAATGTTGCTCATGATTGGATGGTCTGATGCTTGTAAAAGCAATTTAAGAGACAAATCTAAACTCTTTTCACAACTTTTAACGTTTTTCAATCTTTGAAAATGCCTTTGGATACAGTCGAAACGTCGAAGAATAACGTCACTTGCGATTAGCACCGATAAAAGCCTATGATTACCGTTCAAGAACGTGGAGATTGGTTTAAATCATTTCCATATGTTTCTCTTATCACAGAAAGGACAAGACCGTGCTGATAGTTCATCAGCAACAGTTAAGGCGATGTTTCATGATGACCAGGCTGAAGTCCTCATCGAGAGAAGTGAAAGCAAACCGCGCCATGGTGTAAATTGTGTGAATCAGGGTTGTCAATCAAACACTGAAGGCGGCACCTGTGAGAAAACCGCGTTCCTGGTACCCAACCAACAGCAACAGAAAAGGAAAAAAGGTCGTGCTGACTTTATCGACAAGATTTCGCGGGGATTATTTCCACTCATCTTCTTCACTTTTAATATTGCTTACTGGTGCTTCTACTTGCTCATAGTCTAACCTAGTTTCCAGCCTGGTTTTATGTTGATTTCAAGGGACACGCCAATATTAAGCGCAGTACAAGGGACTGATAAAGACATTGAAAATAACGCCACAAACCAACCACAGCTTTCTTTAAATTTTAATGCGATCTGTGTTTGGCAAGACTTAATGTGAAAACTTCAACTTTGTCTATTATGTGCAAATTATTGGTAAAGACGACGAGTGTTTCAGAACTACAGAGAGTTTAAATTTACCAGGGTCTGCCATAATTTTATCTCCTTCGTTTTATTGCCTGAGCATTTGCTCTTCGTCTGAACTTTCTTGAATACTGTATTAGCAAGAGCCCAGGTGAACTAGCAACTGACGTCCATCTTCATTTTATTTCGTTAGGTTTCTTGCCACTGATTACTGCCTTTCTTACGGTGGCCCACAACGGCAATACACAAATATATATTATATTACTTCATTCTATATCTTAGTACACAAACATATTCATTGGTTGTGCGAGTATATTTACCAGTACAATAAAATATACACCAGTACAACAATATGTATCCCAGTACAGAAATGTTGATTTCAGTACAAAAATATAAACTCCAGTACGGAAAGATATCTCCAATTCTTAGTCAGCACAAATAACAGCTCCAGTACAAAAAAAATTATCAATCTCTCAGTACAAAAACATAGGTTCCAGAACAAACATATTCATCGGTTGTGCCACTATATTCCTCGGTACAGTAAAATTCATGTACAACAGTACAACAATATGTATCCCAGTACAGAAATATAAATCCCAGTACAAAAATAAAAGTTGCGGTACAAAAAAATTTACCGCGTCCGCTGGACAAGGGTAACGCGGCCTTGGCCTGAATGATCCCATAATCCTTTTATACATCATTTTCGCGCCATTTTCACAAACCGTACCAAAGCATCAAACATGGCTTCACTGGGTCCATGTTCATTCTGCTGAATGCGGATTTTGTTTTGAAAATCACCTGAACGACTACTTCGATTTTTGCCCGTCTTGGTAGCAAGAGGTAGCAAGCGATGATGATGAAAGGTCGATTATCGAGTATTGCTTTTCGAGGGGATATACTCATGAAAGTATTGTCAAGCTGCTTTCTAAACAGCACGGTATTCATATAGGGGAGCGAACACTGAGATATCGATTCAGAGTTACGGTTTGCGTAGACGGTGTCCTGTTTATGATTTAGCTGAAGTACGACAGCGTGTAGCTGAACAACTTGATGGTCCTGGTTCTATGGGTGGATACAGATCTGTGTGGCATACACTTCGACTTGACGGGATTCAAGTTCCTCGACAAGTAGTTGCAACAGTCGTGAGGGAACTCGACCCCTTGGGTTGTAAGATGAGGAAAGGGAAACGACTGAAAAGAAGGAAATATTATGCTCCAGGTCCTAACTTTTGCTGGCACATTGATGGATATGACAAATTAAAACCTTTTGGTTTTCCTATACATGGCTGTATCGACGGCTGGAGCAGAAAGATTATGTGGTTACAAGTAGCGCGTTCAAACAATAATCCTGAAGTTCCAGCGAAGAATTTCTTAGAGTGTGTTACTGAATACGGCGGTTGTTCAGTCAAAGTGCGTAGCGATTGTGGCACTGAAAATGGTGTCTTGGCGGCAATACAGTGTGAATTTAGAGGTACAGCTGATGCACATGTGTTTGGATCGTCTCCTTCTAATCAGAGGATTGAAGGGTGGTGGTCGTTCTATAGAAGGAATCGTTCTACTTGGTGGATCAACTACCTCAAAGATTTGATTGAAAAAGATGAATTTCACCCAGGAAACCAGTTAGAGGAAGAAGCTTTGTGGTATTGCTTTTCTAGAATTCTGCAAGAAGACCTGGACTTAGTAAGAGAACACTGGAACACCCACCGCATCCGGGACTCTAAGCATGACACTGTGCCTGGTAGACCTGATGAATTATTTCTTTTACCAGAGTGTAATGGGGGAATTGATGGGCTACTTCTTCCAGTTTCTACTGAGAAACTACGTTTTGTGTCAGACAACTTGTTAGAGCATGAAGATGAAATTAACGAATTTCAGAATTACTTTGACTACATTACGGCTAACAGCAGCTTTCATCTACCAAGCAACTGGAGAGAGGCAGAATGGTTGTATCTGCAATTTGTTAGTATTGCTACCCAGCAGATGATGAACAACTGCCTTTAACAATGAGACCTATCAAACGTAAACTTTTTTTCATTTTGTAGACCGTAGTGGTTTCGCAAGAACAACACTTTTTATTCTTGAGGTATAATGGCACCAGTCAGTAATGTAGTAGCACATTGATTCAATGCTGCATGTGATTGTTATTGAAATGCAGAACTGCAATAATTTCGACCAGGTCACCATTTTAGTTGGACAAACCAGAAATATTGTTGGTCAAGTTATTTTAAATTTAAATTTCCTTCAGTACCATGTAAATCTTTAGCTTCAAAATGATAGTCTTTGGTATTCAATTCCACTGATTTCCAGCTGCACCATATACTCAACTGATTACCTTAGTAGTGGTGACTTTTTAGAAGATTTACTCCTGAACCCGCCTCTGTGGAACCCCTTGTTCCATCATAATTATTTACGGTTTCCCAAATGAATGCAATTCAGTCAAACTGGCCAGAGAAACAAGCAAAAACCAAACAAGTAAACTGGCCAAAAAATTCCAATAAAATCCCCAAGACCCAGCAACAGTTCCTGAAGTGAACGGGTTGAACTTAAAAACTTCTCAATTCCACTGATTTCCAGCTGCACCATATACAGTAAACCCAAGGGGAAGCTTAAAGAGACTGAGGTGACAAGAACATCTATTTTACAAGCAATTATTTGACAAATTTCTACCTCCTAGATATGCCTAATGATGATGTCTCAACCTACCGGTATGTGAAAGGACAGCCATTGGTAAATCATAACATCAAATGCACAAGTGGATAACTATGACTTAGATGTAGCAATATCAAAATTTTTTTTAAATTAATATTCCGTGGAAGAAAGGTCAAAGGTAACATACAGTATCTTCCTATTCCAAAAAATATTCTTGACTAAGGGTAACTGTAATAATCAAAGCAAGAATTTTTTTTTTCATCAATTTAAGAGATAAAACACTTAATTGTATCCAACAGAACAAACAGCAGAGTAACGACATAGTCCTTGGTGTCATTTACAAAGAGTCAAAGGCAGCATGGGTATGTCATGGGTATGACTTGCCCTACAGTGTGTGGCCTTACTGAACATTCTTTTTGGATATCCTTCAAGTCCAAAGAATAATAATTTTACAATAATCGAACAAATTTCAACATATGAAATGGCAATAAGTACACATCTCAAGGCAATATTAACATTCATTTTTAAACCAAACAAAAGCCCTCTGAATCAGCTATAGCTGAACCCATGATACTCTTCATGTCATCTGCATTGTCAAGATGCACAGGCAGGGTAATTTTAAGAGCACATGTGGATGTGGTTGGCCGACATCGGCATCCAACTACACAGCCATGCAGAAACTGTATAGACAGTTTCTTGGGTAATCCCAGTGGTGGAATAGTACTGGATCCAACTGCCCACTTCAAGGTTGTTTGCAAACCATCTGTATTGAGTGATTGTATGCTAGACAATATTGTAGGAGATTGGTCATGCATACAAATTGCTCTGTAAACGAAAGAACAAGAACAAACTAAAATCAGCCAGATACTCCTTGGAACATTAAATTTTTAATTGGCAAAATGGGATAAATTTTAGCAAAAGGTCTCTTATTTGCATTTAAAAAAAATGCCCACAAAACTGCTATTATACTGTTATTCCATTTAACGTCATTTAATATAATAAATTGCTACAAGGCTTTAGTAACACAAACACACTTGAATCCTGGATACAAACCATTATTTTACCAAGGCCGTGTTGTGTGGTCTACCCGGGGTTAGTGGAATGATTCATCAAGCTTTAGAGTGCATTATAATTTTACTGTAACTTCCCTGAGATCAAAAAACTTATCTTGCCCTATAAAAGGGAAAGAAAGCTTTGCTTTTGAAAAAGAAATTAAATTTTTCCCTTGCAGTCAGCTGACTTCATCAGATTTACATTACCCTGTCACATAAAGATGTGGGCATGTACATGCCTACAAAGAAAACCATTTAAACAGAAAAACGGAACAAAAAAATGTAGCTCAGCTATGAGCAAGAGTTAAGGTACAATGGTTTCCAACTATTAAGTGTTTGAATCTTATGCATCAGTCAATTCCACCTGCACCCAGCCCCCACAATACCCCCCCCCCCCTCCCTCACCCCGGGCTGCAGTAGCCCTGGGAAGGAGGGGCTAGGGAGGTGGAATTGACTTATGCATTAGTGCAAATGCACTAAACGTTAGGACAGCTGTAACTGTATTGATCTGCATCATATGCAGTACTTACTCAATGATTTTTTTAATTGATTCTTTGTTTTCTTTTGCGGGTACACCATTATAGCCAATGCCTTGAAGAGTATCCAGAATTTGGTCTTCCATTAATATGTCTGAAAGTTGATCTTCTGATGCATTTCTGAGCTGAAAAATATAGATAACATAGCACTATAAAACTGTCAATTCTTGTTAGTGCCAACGAGTAATTTATTACTTTGCTGTTCAGGAACACTTCATGTCATTTAAAAATGCACGCTATGACAATTCAGCTGCTATTTATAAAATCATTCTATTTGGTCAATAACTAGCAAGTGTTCTCTGAAGTGGATGTCTATTAAATACAAGACTTTCAAAAGCATCTGTCACAAAGCACTGTGTTTATTAGGAGGTTCTTTTGCATAACAAAATTTTATGTAAATTAAAAAAAAAAACTGTTCATCTTTTCTTATCATGTTTTCCATCAGGGCCAAGTTGTCCGAAAGATGATTGGTGTAAATCCAGGGTTATTTACCATGACAGTCCACATGATTTGTTGTAGTTAACCCAGGAATACTGCTAACTGGGCTTTGAAAAACTCGGCCCAAGCTACAAAAATAAAGTCTCTCGTATTGCCTGGAATTATAAATATATCATTTGTGCCTTGACACAAGTTTGTTTCAATGATTCATCTTTCAGTTCCTCAATGGCAAATGATCTACTGACCACATTGTAAATTTCACGAGCAAGGAAGTTTGGACTTGGTCCGCCCTGGACAACTGACATGGCCATCACTTCCCCAGCGGTGACAAAGTCATCTATTGTCACAGCTAACATGGACTTTGTTGGGAACCCATCAGGAAATAGCCTGTTTCTACAGTATTCAATCATTTCTTTAAAATAAAAAAAATCCTACATGAAGAACTTGAAACCTTTCAATAAAACGGTGGTGGGGGCCGTGGGAGCCAATATCATACTGATATTATCATCCAGAAAATCACCCCTCTTACTGAAGACACAAAAAGCGAAATAAATATTAATCCCAAGTCAATCTCTAGAAATTGAACTTGCCCACCTGAAAAGAACTCACGCTTTGGTCCACCATCATCAATTGCTGGTTCGCCACTAAAAGTAATTTTGATGGTGTTCAAGGGAGAGTAGTAATCACTGCGAGCTCTGCTAAAATCTGACCACAGGTGATTTCTTCGGACAGTGACCCTTATTTCCTCATGCTGTACGTTTCCTGCGAGATTACAGAGTTGGTCTTTCAGCATTCCTTTCTCTTGCACAACAGCTTAAAGCACAAAATGAAAAGAGAGATACAATATCTTAGAAAAATCTGTTTACCTGCCCCTCCCCCTCCAAATGCAAAGCAAAAGGTGGTAGTTTGAAAGTACATAGACAATATTTTTTTCCACAAGCAGGACTGGGTCATTAGAAGTAGCAAGCTACAGCCCTATGCTTACTCACTGCCTAATTCACCACATAGGCAATTTTTGAACATTTACACCGCTTTAACAACAACCACACTCCTTATGATCATAGAACAATGTATCTTTTAGCTTGCCAATAATTTATAAGCATACTTGCATATAAACTTTGATCTGCATATATTACTTAATCACATTGAAAACTTGCACTCCCACATAAATTAAAACTTACTAGATAGAGAAAACAAGTTCATCTACAGCTAAATCGTGCATCTACATTGTGCCAAAAATGCAATATAACTTATCATACAAGCACCACAAACCTGTTGACCTGGAACATGACGAATTAACTGGGTGTGGATCTGGAAGTTCTTCTACAGACTGAGCAAACCTATCTGCATGTTCCTCAATTGCACTAATGGGAAACGTGCCCCAGCAGGTAGGGCAGTTGACCAGAAAGCAATCGTCCCCAGCTGAAGATGTTGACGGGGCTGCAGCAGTGCTTTTTCCCCTTCCTGAACTAAAACTCTGCCTTTTTAGTGGAACAGGGTACAATGACGGTTTTAATGCAGGCTTAATGAAATCTTCATCATCACTGGAATCTTTGGAGGCACCATCACACAACAAATCGTCCTCTTCATCAACATATCGTCGAAGATCTTCAAATATATCTCCTTCAGGTAAGAGATATAGAGTTATTCGTGCATATCCAAATCCAGACTCTTCCTTATACCTCCTCAAAGTAAAGGGTTCCTCAGGACCTACGCCAGGGATGTGTTTAACTTCACTGCCGTCCTTGAAGGCCAGAATGTACTCAGATTGTGAATGAATAAACCTGCTGTTGAACAGAGTATGTTTCTTTACTGCAGCGAGGCGAATGTCTTCGGCAGATGATGTTGATGGAACCTTCAAGGGCAAGGTTTCTCCTCGTTTGATCACACCCTTCTCCTTCATCACTCCCACGTTGATCGTTACCATTTCATCGTCGACTTTTCTCTTCTTGTGTCCGGCATGCGCTTTACGAGCAAAGAATGTCTTTCGCTCTGACTCTTTTTGAGACTTGAATGTATGAAAGTTGGGAAGAGAAAACGGTGTCGTAGTTGTTTCACAACGGCCAGTAGGAAATGTTCTTACTTTTACACCACATTTGGGACAAAACTTGAACTCGTTTTCTAAACAAAATCCGCATTTAGAGCAGAATGAACATGGACCCAGTGAAGCCATGTTTGATGCTTTGGTACGGTTTGTGAAAATGGCGCGAAAATGATGTATAAAAGGATTATGGGATCATTCAGGCCAAGGCCGCGTTACCCTTGTCCAGCGGACGCGGTACAGTTTTTTTGTACCGCAACTTTTATTTTTGTACTGGGATTTATATTTCTGTACTGGGATACATATTGTTGTACTGTTGTACATGAATTTTACTGTACCGAGGAATATAGTGGCACAACCGATGAATATGTTTGTTCTGGAACCTATGTTTTTGTACTGAGAGATTGATAATTTTTTTGTACTGGAACTGTTATCTGTGTACTAAAAATAGGAGATATCTTTCCGTATTGGAGTTTAAATTTTTGTACTGAAATCAACATTTCTGTACTGGGATACATATTGTTGTACTGGTGTATATTTTATTGAACTGGTAAATATACTCGCACAACCAATGAATATGTTTGTGTACTAAGATATAGAATGAAGTAATATAATATATATTTGTGTATTGCCGTTGTGGGCCACCGTACTTTCTTGTTTAATTGGGTTAAATTCGATGTTCTCAAAAATTTCGAAAAGATCTTTCAATCCCTGGGCCGCTGAATTAGTTGGGGTCAGAGGCACGCAACGAAAGTAAACAGTAAAATATCTGTTCGCAGAAGCAAATATTGCCAAGAATTTTCTAGTACTTGAGTACGGCTATAAATTTCTAGATGATTGTTCCATTCAAGTACAATTTCCGAAGGTCATCTAATAAATTATCTAAGATTTTCTCAAGTTTAATTTTTCACATTTTACTCCCTAAGTTAGGCTATTTTTCATAGAAAAAAGGCAACCTAAAATTTTCGGATTCAAAAATGCGACGGAAAGAGGAAGGAGAAAATTTTTCTCCTTCGTAACACATTAAAATGCATCTAAAATCTTCGGAGAAATAATACTGAATCCCTCGTAATTTCTGAAAGACTCAAGTTCTCCTAAGATGACCGAACAGAAACAACTAGCGCCGCTTAGAATGCATTTCAAGAGATCTTAAAGTACTCGGTTTTCAATGGTCGATTTATGACCTAACGCGACCAACTCCGCCATACAAAACATTTCCAGTTTCTTGAAGAAACTTTTAAACTTTTTACCTAGACCTTCATCGTCCAATAGTCTCATTTCACCTCCATCCCGTGATATTCAGTGCCACGCCAGCTCCCCAAGTTCATTAAAAATCGAACTTTACAATTAATCACACTCATGCTTTTAAGCGTTAAGAGTTAATTAGCAATTAATGAATGAGGCTGAGTAGGATATGAAGAATTAAGCAGGTCGAGGAGGGAGTTATCCACAGAGGCCGAAGGCCGAGGTGGATTACACCTTCCGAGATCCACTTAATTCTTCATATCCTACGAAAACCGAATTCATTAATTGCTTTATTATTCATTCAAAATAATTCCTAGTTTAAAACATAGCTAAAACATGCTTACCTGCATCAATGTTAAGTTTATCTTCCATAGTGTACGTTTAGGTTTGTCCAGCTCCGCAAATATTCTCCAAATAGCAGATGTTGCCCTCCGAGTTCTCTTCTTGCTGTTTTTGCTATGTTTTTAGCCATTATTTCGCCGAGTTCCAGCTGTAGTTCTTACTCTTGAAACGAATGAAGTGTTCGCTATTTTAGTTTTCACAACGAAAACAACTCAACCTCGTCCCCACGTCTTCTCTATTAACGGTGCATTAACCTGTAGAAAGCTGCATTTTTGACGTCACTTCCTCATTAAACACAGAATTCTTCCAAATTTGGTCGTCAGTAACTGGTTATGGTGAATTATGCGAGTGTTTTTAGCCAATCAGAATTGGGGAAATATTTTGAATGAATAATAATATTATTTAATTTCTCCTCCTTATATCACTGCTTTATAACACGATTGGTGATCGCAGAAGATGAGTCTAACTAATACTTCAACAAATTCTCCGCAAGACTACTTCTATAGGATACGTACACGAATACGGACAATAAATGACACCTACAATTTGGATAGTAGGGTTTAAATGCTTAACCCTTTTGACAAATTATTATCAAACTCTTCGAGTAGTTTGGCGTTGTCTATGGCTGGCTCTCGTGTATCGTTTTAAATTCTCGAAGTGGCTTTGTTAGTGATCTGATTCGTATTAATCAAATAAGGCGCTCAACTTGTGACTACCGACAGATGAAAATGATGTTTCTTTTTGCTACAGAAACTGTACGGAAACAATGTTTAATGAAAACAATTAATAGCTATTATGCACGTAAACCTATAATGCAATAAAGTATCAAACAAGTAGGATGTGAGCTATTTCAAGCCAGAAAAATTATAAGAACTTAGTACTCTTGCGCATAATCCTATAATGAAACGAACTATCAAAAAGTAGGGTGAGAAATTCTATAGGATGAGAGCTTTTTGACTCCAAAGCAGAAATTATAAGAAGTGATATTCGCGCGTTCTAAAAAATCAAACAAAAGCACTTTACCGTCGCCAAAGAAAAGAATGAGAAATATAGCTGTTATTCTTATTGAGAAGCAGAACGTTTTCCTTCTTACCATTGTGGAAAAGGGAAAACAGAACAACGATTTTGCTTGATACAAGAGTCGACTGAAAAGGCGGCAATAAAAAGTGCAACTTAGATAAGTTGCAAGCTTGCGAGGAATGTTACTCATAGTGGCCGTCGTGTTATTTCGTCTTCTTTGTGACAAGTGGTAAACTATATCACAGAAGTGAGGGCACCATGTCCCGTCAGTTCACGTTACCTTCAAGTGTGAGCCAGGTTTCTTTACCTTCGACAGGTACTTTTTCTTTTCAAATTTTAATCACAAACCTACAGTTCTCTTTTTCAAAAGGTAAATTACAGAGGTCGTATAAAGCAATTTTCTGTTACCCCATCTTAATGATGCTGAAAGGGATGGAGTTTACAACAGAGTTTTTCCAGAAATACGGCACTTATAAAATGACGAGTTGCAGTACCTTTTATGGACTTCAGTTGGCTAATTAGTCTCGACCATACCAGTGCTTTCAAAATCGTCAAGAGTGATAGAATAATATAATATAATTTTATTGCGATGAAAAGTGTACGAGTTTTTTTCGGCCATCTCACAGTGACCAGCAGGCTAAATACACAAACGATTGACACTACTTTAAACTACTGATATTATTTCTTGAAGCAAAAACTTTTCTTGATTAGCTAATCAGTGTACAATATAATCTCAACTGCCTAACTTAACAATAGTACAGGATACACATCTACAGAAAGAAGTAGACTGTTACAGAGCTTAGATTCCCTTCGACTCTTGTACCGTGAGAATGAGTAAAATCACTATACTAAGTCTGCCAAAGTGGTTATTTCATGGCGAGTTCCATTGCTTTGGCAGGAAACGGAACTAAATTTTTAACTGTGTACCTTCAAACAACTCTTCTTATTCTTGCTCATTCTTTTTTGCTACTGTAAACCCCCAACAAAATATTATCGTTGTTTAATTTTTTATCAGTGCGTTTAAGTTATCAATGATTAATAGGAACTGAGATAATCGTTTTGACGGGCAGAAAAAAACCGGTTTCTCGTATGGCAAAACGTTAGTTGACAGGGAAATCGGAACAGGATGCATCGTTGTAATTCAAATCACAGTCACAATTCTGTCTTATCAATAGCCAATATGCAAACATTTACCCTTTTCGACACCAGAGCCGTTTTTGTGCGTTAAATAGAGAATTTGACTCGTGGTAAAACAGATCTTTGTTAAACTTTTTTTCTATACTCCCTGTATATTGTATGTTCGCTTGGTAATGTCCCTGACATTGGTTGAAAGGAGTATGTTATTCCTGTCTAGTCTAATGCCCTATTTATGCTTTCTATGAACGTCACCAAGGAGATTATAACTAACCTGCGTAGCAGGCGCTAGGAAATAAATGGGCACAACAAAAAACGCGCGCGCGAGAAAAAGACACTCGAGGGGAGAGGGAGCGCCTGCACGGTAGGCCCCCGAAAATCGTTTCCCGCCCTCTATGTAATTACTTGGCAGCGCTGCATGATCTGCCAAATTTTTTGACAGAAAACTGATATCACTTCGCGCGTTGAAACGCAAATTTGCGGGAAGTTCTACATGTCGGTCGATTCCTGCGGTGAATTGCAAGTAAAATCAAATCGCGGATCAAATTTCCCTTGTTATAGCTCTTGATATCGATTGTTTCCTTTCCCTGACGGTCAAATACCAAAAAATATTTTGAAAGATTTGTAAATCTTGTATTTAACTAGATATATTTAACTGATTGTACACAATCAACGTTCGTTTATTGCTTCTGTCTTTTTTAGGTAGTCGAACTGTACTTTCTTTGAACCTTTTTTTGTTTGTTTTTCTTTGTGTTGTAGTTTAGTTATTATTAATTAAAAAAAAAAGAGAGATCAAAGTGAAGCAAATCCAAGATCTTCAAAGTGACGATATGGAGATCGACGTTAATCTGGAGGAAGTTAAGCTTAGTGAATACAAGTGGTACAGCCGTGAAACGTACAAGAGGTCAATGAGTTTACTTGAAGCCGAAAGAAATTTCGAAGGGGCGTCTTTCACGGAACAGGATGTCCTAGAAAGGTGCATCAATAGGGCATTGAATAAGGTAAAGGAGGAAAAGTTGCCTCTGTACAGGTAAAAATTAGTACTTGACCATAAAGAAGCTATTAGCAAGAAAATACATTTTATTCAAAATAAAGAAATTTGTAAATAAAGAAATGAGCAACAAAATAAATTTGTTTTAACATTGCAAATGAAAAATTGGAATATTTTGTGATAACAAACAAGATTGGTCTGCTGAACACTTATACAAACAATATTTATGTTTTCCTCTCGGTAACTTTCTTTCACCCGGTTCCATTTTGTACGTTAATCTTATTTTACAGATACTGATGAAATACCAGGATTTTTCCCTTTACTGAAAAATCATATCTTCATCGTGCGCAGTGAAGATACTATTTTTATCTTTCACGTGTGAGGATATTGGTGTCGCCATGGTTACTAACATGATTAGCCAATTACAATGAGAGCTTCCCGCTCAGATATGCGGCAAGTTCTTTTGAAATTTCATTCACAAAATAGCTTCGAGGTGCGACGACGGTACAGCTACCGGTGACTTTCTCGATGAGCTGCCAAATTTTCACATCGATACTTTTTCCGAGCTTGCAGAACATTCAGGAAGATTTGCCGAAGTCTCGGAAAGTGATATTGAAAAATTCATTGAGGGCGGGAACAAAATGCAAACACTAAAAAAAAACAGCTATTACGACTTAAAATTAGTCCAAACGTTTCTGGTAGAACAGCGCCACGAAATCAGAGAAATGGAGAAGTTTCCTCCAACTGAATTAGACAGCTACTTGAGCCAGTTTGTTTTAGCTGCAAGGACCAAGACTGGAAAAGATTATGAACCGTCATCTCTCCGCGGAATTTTGGCTAGTGTTGAACGCCATCTGAGTCGCTCCAGTTACGGCAAAACTATCTTCAAAGACAGTGATTTCAAAAAACGAGACGCGTTGAAAGCGAAACAAAGGCAACTCAAGCGACATGGACACGGAAACAGACCAAAAGTCACAACGGCTCTTACGGACGACGAAATTGAGATTCTTTTTGACAAAAAGTTGCTTGGATTAAGTTCACCGCAAGCTCTGTTAAATACTGTGTGGCTAAACAACAAGATTCACTTTGGCCTTCGCGGATGTAAGATCACTTAATTAAGCTACAAAAACAATCATCTGACGATCTACTCAATAATTTTTCTTCGCAGATTACATCACTCCAAAAAAAAGACTCTCAACAATCAAACATCATTCAAAAATTGCAAGATGAAAACCAGATCCTCCACAAGAAACACGTACAAATTGACAAAGCAAATCAGGCCCTGCAAGAATCACAAAATAATCTGATGACAGAAATTCATTTCCTTAAAGAACAAATCACAGCGCTTTGGCAAAACTCGAAGGAACCTTTGTTTATGTTAAAGTTAGCGACAAAAAAGACGTAGAGGAAAGAAATATCCCTTATCCCGAATTTACTTACTAAAGCTCATCATGTGAAGTATAGACAAGAGTATAGGAAATTGAAAATGACAATAACTAATTTTTTCTCTACCTTTCATGGGTTTTTGTCATAGATAATGAGAAATAAGGACTAAAATAATCAGAGGAACTAGTCAAGTCAACGTTCAAAACATTTAACTCTGAGGAACCTGTTATGTTCTAACGTTTTGACAATGAATTCGTAAATCTGAACATGTAATTGATACTAAAAAATCTTCGGATAGCTTTAAAGCAAAAAAGTAGCCAACTGTGTATTTTGTTTAACCTCGGGTACTAAAATCCTTTACATAGCAACCCTACGGTAGTTATGTTCTCGAAGAATGTTTGCTAAATTTTAATTATTGGCAACCATTTTGTTAAAAAAGACGGCGGCGCTGAAATTTGTCTTGGTTGGTGAGTTGAATTGCTCTTTTTTACATCCTTTCACATAAGACTTTATGGATAATAGTGTATGCTGAATACTAGTATTTCTTGCAGCTAAGATATTTGTCAATAATTTATTGTAAACACTTTGTTGTGCATTTTGTTAAGATGTCGCTTATAAGTCCTGGCCTTATACATCTTCAGTAAAGGGTTTAAAGAGGTGGTATAAACGGAGTGGCTTATATCCGAGGGGGCTTTATAACCAGAACAAAACCCTTGGAAAAAAGCTATGGCAGTTTCATTTACTGATTTTAAATTAAGCTTCCAAACGTCATAATAAATCGAATTCTGGTTGGATGGCTTATAAGAGTCTTATAATTGGAGGTAGAGGGGGGCTTCTATTCGAATCAAGAACGAGAAATCCAAAGACCACTGCAAAGCTAATTCAGAACAACGTGTATTGTTTTTTAAACATAACAATATTTCGGCTGGTCATACCAGCCTTCTTCAGGTTTACAGATGTTAATTTAATCATTTTCTATTCAAATGAATTTTATGTTACAAGTAGGTGGGCCCATATAGAGGGCTATATATAGGACTAGGGGCTTTTAAGAGGGGAAGCTTATAAAAGGCAGTTGAAGGTACTTTCATTTGGAGCAGTAGCCTACTTGTAGCCGCACCCTCCCCCCATTGACAAAGGAAAAACGGAGAGCGGAGGGGGGGGGGAGGGTTGCAAGTACATGTAGGCTATTAGAGCGGCGGCTCGTTCCCCCCACGACATCATAGTTTTATTTTTTTTATGTTTATGGAGAATATTTCCAACCGAGATAGTTTGTCTAAATAGTAAGTCCCCTTAAGAACTAGGTTTCGGTTTTTAACAGTTTAACAGTTTAATCCTGCATATGTAGAGAGTTTTCACTCATGTGGTAAGCAGATTAGCGCCTTTCAGAGTCTCTTCGCACCTCTCTGTTTGTGTGAGTGTGTGCCTTTGATCGTGAAAAAAAAAGCTCAGAGTAGAAAGGCGCAAAAAAAATAAAAACTCACTCATTCAATCGCCAGGTTTCGGAACCGCGCTTCTCCACCAGCTGTTAGTTTGATCTCTGAATATTATGTTGCGATCACGCATCCCACCGTCTGAAAAACCAACACTTCTCACGCGATCTCAAGTACAAATAACGGGGAAAAAGAAACCTGTGAAGCTAATCGTGCAAACATATTTTGTGTGTAACTATAACTGTTTATTAATTGTGGCAAAGTTTACAGAAAGCAATATCCACTGCCCGCAGTTAGCAGATTAGCTTGTCGCGGCGAGCAGTGGTTACACTTATGTAATATATATACAAATAGACCACAAGAAAGACTAGAGAAAAAGAGTAAAAAAAATGTTAAATAAATAAACAAATAAATAGAAATAAATTTAATTTCGTTAAGTTTACAATCATGTACATTGCAAATATTAGAAGCCGAGCTTTTAGGAAATTTTTATTATTAAGTCGGGTAAATCAATATAATCATTTTCTTCTGAAAGTATTCGGAGTAAAGTGTCCTGGACATTAATTTTAAAGTTATTTTTGGACACTTAACGCATTCGACACGGTAAACTATTCCAGATTTTTACACCATATCTTGAAAGAGACTTCGTTTGTCTAACCTTGAGTGTTTGACATAATAGTCACCTCTTGAAGATGATCTTGTATTATATGAACGAATAAGTTAGACATGTTAGTAGGTGTTAAGCTGTTAGATGTATCATGTATTAGAATAGCAACGGATTTAAAGTAGAGTAGATCCATGGATAATAGGAAGACCCAGTCTTTCTATGATATCCATGGTAGATCTAAGGGAAGAAAAATAAGGTACTGCATGAGAATTGTAGTCACCAAAGAACATAAGGCGGAGGGCGCGTTTTTGAAGAATGAGAATTTTGTTTATGTAAGTTTTAGCAGCATGGCCCCAAGCGACTATGCCATTCAGTAAGTAGGGCTGAATAAGAGATATGTATATCTGGTGTAGAGTATTCAGGGGTGCAAAGTGTCTAAGGCTGGCAATAACGCCAATTATCATTCGAAGCAAATTGGTCTTTCTTTTCATTGGCCGAGAGCCCACCACGTGTCCTGCAAATAACTACCTACAAATAATGGTCTGCTCATGCGCAATGCCGTCCAACTGTGTTTGGCTGCAAATAATATTCTGCACATGCGTAAAGGAAACCGTGCCTTTCTCCTTATTGCGATCGCTCTTGCGTGAAAATGGCAGATCGCTTCGCTTCTCGAGGATACTCATTAAAAAAACAAAGTCGGTGATCGAATGATAAAACAATTATTGAACTCGGTTATCGCAAAATATCGTGATTTGTCAGTGTCTCGCAGATCAATTATTTCCCGAAGTCGAATTGATCTGCTCGCCACAGACAAATCACGATATTTTGCTCAACCTCGTCCAATGATTGCTAATTGTTTTACTTATTTTTGAAGCGATGTGAGCGATATGGTATTTCCAATAAATATTTTCATCAATAAGCACACCTAGATATTTGACATAATTTTTGCATTTTAAAGAAATGTATGAGTTGTTATGATGATCAAATACTTTCAAGTTGACTTGGTGATTTAACTTTTTTGTCTTGGTTTAAAAATGACAAAGTTAGATTTTTTTATATTTAGTGATAATTTATTTGCGATTAGCCAGTTATAAACTCTAAAAATTTGTGTATTAACTGTAGATTCAAGCGATTTGAGATTTTCGTCAGCATATAACACATTGGTATTATCAGCAAATAAGTAGAACTTCAATTTATCAGAGCTGTTACATATATCATTTATATAAATAAGGAATAGTAAGGGTCCTAGGACCGATCCCTGTGGGACACCTGATAACACTACTTCCTTCTTGGATATGTTTTTAGGACCAATTTTTGTCGTTTGTTGACGACCCACTAGGTATGATGCAAACTAATCATTAATCATTCCACGTACTCCATAATGATTTAATTTTCTTAATAATATTGAATGATTTGCTGTGTCAAAGGCTTTTTGCGAGTCAATGAACACACCACATGAGTACAACTTTTTATCCATGTTAGCTTCAGTTTTATTAATTATGTCTAAAATAGCATGCTCAGTAGACTTTTTTACACGAAAACCATATTGTGAAGCATGACGAATGTTGCACTTCTCATTAAATGACTTGAGGCGATTATACATTATCTTTTCGAAGATACGGTTAAAGATGGAGAAGAGTGATATGGGTCTATGATTGGAAGGGTCAGTTTCATCACCACTTTTGTAAATTGGAATTACTTTGGCAAGCTTTAATTTAGATGGATAGGTTCCAAATTCTATTGATTTACTGATGATCATAGATAGAGGTTGGCTTATAATATGTTTAGCCAATCTTAAGATCCGAGTGGGAAATGAATACGGCCCTTGTACCTTGTTTAGTTGAATTGTCATTATTTCAGAATCAATTTCACAAGGAGATGCAGGGTTAAAAAAGAATGAACTAGCAAAGTCTAACTTTGGTAGATAACCAGTAAATTGCTTTGGTGAATTTTCTTTTGTACAAAAAGAAAAATAAAGTAGAAGGAGCGTGACCGTCAAAAACATCTTTTCTTCAATGGCCGACTGTCGTGATGTCTAGTGTGCAGCCCGACTAATAAAGGCAAGTAGAATCTTTGTGACTGCGCGAAAAAGGCTAATTGACAGTGAGAACTCAAGGGGTCCTTCTTGGCTTTTTGATTGTCATCGAAGTCGAGCCCGCGATATAAAAAAGGGGCTGCCAGTCCGAAATCCGCCGGCTGCTTTTGCAAATTAATTGGCGCCAAAAAAGGGCGCACTTTTTAGTTTAATTTCTTTCTTTGAGTCATTCGGCATATATTACATTCCACATAATTATGTCATTCCGCAAGCCATGCCACATGCCATTCCGCAAACTCATTCAACCTTTTACCGTCAAAAAACTACGCGGATCAGAGAAAAGAACCGGCAACAAACATTGCGATTGGTCTACTCTAGATTCTCTTACTGGGTATAGATGTTCTTCATTTCGAGCAAATGCATTCATTTTGGGGTCTGGTTCCTGTTTATAAAAATTCCATTCGGTTTTGCCTAAGTGGCCATGTGTGTGAAACTCTATATTTTTCCTCGGAGTGTAGTTGCTTTAATAGTTATTAATTGCGGGAACGCCTTTTGCAAAAGTTAACAACAACAATAAGCTTTCTTTGCATGACTATAAAAAACTGCTACAGTATTGCAAAAGCTACTGACCAAAAATTGTTGATACCGTTTTATGTTGATTACAATGGCTTATACTAAAATAAAAACCTAATGTTTTCTAAACAAAGTCAAGGGAAACACTTTGACTCGAGAGAAAACAAAAATGTTTCCTTCAAAACTTGGCATAAAGTGTATATTCTTCCACATGGAGTGAAAGCGAAACCGTCCCAGAGACTCGAATGAATGAAACGATGGCAAAAACTATCGCTCTTAATAAAAAACTTTAATAAAAGGACGAACATCTTATCTCGTGGGCGGGGAAACCGTTAGAAAGAGACCTTGCCCGAGATTGTAACAACATTTGATGAACTGAACCTGACTTGTTCAATCAAATCTGTAGAATTGAAAGTGTTTTCCTGGGAATTAAAGTTACTGCAAATCACCTCCATAACCATAACGTACTGAGACAGCGGCACCCAACGACTCTTTTCTGTAAAATATCTGTTCGGAAAAGCAAATATTGCCTTGACCTTTCTATTACTTGAGAACAGCTAAAAATTTCTAGACGACCATCCCCTTCATTTACAATTTTCTAAGCTTATCCGATAAATTCCCCATGATTTTCTGAAGTTAAATTTTTTTACATTTTACTTCCCACGTTAGGCTATTTTTCGTATAAAAAAAGGAACCCTAAAATTTTCGGATTCGAAAATTTGAGTGAGAGAGGAATCAGAAAATGTTCATTTTCGTGAGGCGTTACCGGTAAATTGCATCTAAAAGTTTCGAGAGAAAGATAGTGGAGCAATTGTAACTTCGAAAAGACTTAAGTTCGCCCAGAATGACCGAACAGATACAAATTTTATAGCGCGCCTAGAATGCAGTTTCTAGAGCTCTGGATAGCCTAAAAAGTGTTTTCAATGTATTTAGGAAAAAACCATCGTTGGTGCCCCTGATCAGATTGATGATCGTGATGTTTAGCTTTTGAACATACTCCTTTGTTTCGCACTTAGGGCTCCTACCAAAAAAATATCTGATTCATTCACCAGCAACTGGAATCGTAACACTCTTTCTCGCTTTAACCCATCAAAGCTCTATAAGCGAGTAGACAACAAATTCATGAAGAGTCAGCATATAACACAACACATAGCAAAATGGGAAATGGTTACTTAGCTCAAAGAGGACAGCGGATTCTGACAAAAACAAATCTTCGTAACGTACTGCTCATTGGAGTTTTATCGAGCGTGCTGCTTGTTACATATTATCTACTTCAGAGCTCTCGACGACATCACAAGAATGATATAAGCTGGAAAATAAATCCATATTTCACCAAACAAGAACCTTATCGTCGACGTTTCTCATGTTTGCTCTCTCGCAAACGTTGCGACCAAAACGCATTCCTATTCATCTTGGTGCTTTCTGCCCCTGCTAACTCGGACAGGAGAACAGTCATTCGGAGGACATGGGGGAATGATCGATCACTCCAAATGAGATGGAAGACCGTATTTCTCGTTAGTCAAGCTTTAGACAACAACAATCAGAGTGAAAATATGGCCGCCGAGGGTACGACATACGGAGATATCATACGAGGAAGTCACATTGACCATTATTACAATTTAACTCTGAAGACGCAAATGGGTCTCGAGTGGGCGGCAGGATATTGCGATTTCAGTTATCTCCTCAAAGTGGATGATGATGTATTTGTTAATCCCTATAACTTGTTGGACCACCTGGAAAAGCCTGACACCCAAGTAACTAACCTTTACATGGGACGCTGTTTCCACAACGCGCCTGTTCTACGTGTTGGCAAGCACCGAATGACCAGAGAAGAGTACAGTGAGTCTACTTTTCCAACTTACTGCAACGGGCCAGCGTATTTGTTATCGTCAGATTTAGTCCACAAATTAGTGGAATTATTTGACACTTATACCCCTTTTAGACTCGAAGATGTTTATATAGGCATGTTAATACGTAAAATAGGTGGAGTTGAGGCTGTAGGTCACTCAGGCTTTCGCACTCAGGAATTTGGTGAGCCGTGCAAACATTTTCCAAATATGTTTGCTTATCACGAAGCTTCCGTAAAGTGTTCGGCGGAATTGTTTGAAGAAGGGATCAAAGAGAGACTAGCTTCAGAATTTAGCAAATTGGGAAATGCTACAGGCTAAACTGGTTTGAAATAAGCAGAAAATAACGATTTAGCGGTGATCTACTTAGAAGATGACAAAGAAGAACATTTAAACCAGGATTTTGATAGCAAATTAAACCCAATTAGGACAAGTTGTGATAGAAGCAGTAGTAGAAGCAGCGTAATAGTTAATAACTTCCTAAAACAGAATCAGTTAGAATCGACAAAGAATACTATTCTATTGGTCCAATTGAATTGGACCAATCAGGGGTGCTTTTAGCTTGAAGAACGATCTTGACACCGCGTAGAAAAAAACCTCTTACGAAGAAATATTATTTCTGTTAATAGCGTCAATTGTAATAATAATAATAATACTTATACTATTACTACTTCTATCAATAATAATAATAATGACGATGATGGTTTACTAACAGCATTTTCATTACAACATAGCTCTACATGTGTTAGGAAATATAATGCCATAGTTTATGTAAATGCAAATAAGCATTATGTTAAAAATAATCAATGAATAATTAAATTCTCAAATGCGGCTTCTGTGCTTATGCCTATGACTGATTTCTTCATGTGGGTTCAAAAAACATAACTAACAAACAAACTACATAAATAAACAAAGACTTAGAAGTAACACGTCCCCTCAGTCCAGTTGTTGTTGTTGTTGTTTTCTTCTATCTGCTTTCTGGTCGAATTGGAACTTCGAGATGTTAGTTTTTGAGAAAAGGGGAAATAATAATAATAATAATAATAATAATAATAATAATGGAATTTATATAGCGCTTATACATCGCTGTTCTAAGCGCTTTACAATGTAAAAAGGACATAAGAATATCATTAAGCACAAGCTTACATATAACCCTACTGTACATATTGGGAAATTTATAGCATACACATCTTAAAAAGGAAAGAAAACAAAAACAAATATGATGAAACTAGATGTCATATACCTTTTTAAAAAGAAACGTTTTCAACTTCGATTTAAAAAGATTAACATCAGAACAACCTCGGATTTCAAAGGGGAGCTTGTTCCAAAGAAATCCGGATTATACAGAAAAAAAAGACACTCTCGAAGCAAAGGAGAGAACCAGCAACAAACGTAACCCACACATGGCGTCGATGCCTGCTTTTTGGGCGTAGGTCACATAGGTCGGAGGTGAGCGCTCTCATCACTGCGAAATGGAGCAAGCTAGGGTGGCGTACATTCGATATGAGCAAGAAAGATTGATAGAAGGAAAGCTATAAAATGTGCTCATCGAACCTCAGACAGTACAAGCTGCTACTGTTCCTCACTTTTACAGGAAAGCGTCGTTACAACGATTCGACGTTAAAGAAAAAAAGAAACAACAGGAAATTAACAGTTGAATTATATTAAGGTTCTGGAAGAGAATTATCGGACTCCGGGATTTTACCGAAGTACATACGTGAAAAACGCAACATTTATTGACTGGATAGGGAGTTCCCAATAGGGTTCTTCAATCCCGTGATCCCGACTCCACATTTCGTGCAATCACGTAATCCCAATGTTTCTTTTTTTTCGGCATGCCACCTCCAGCGATAGTTTCAATCCCGAATCTCGCCCGGATTTTTCTTTAAAATCCCGAATCCCGAGATTCAAACAAGAGAATTCCCGGATCCTGAAAGATCTCTTAAACACTATCTCGGTAGGGATTTTGCCGGTCCGAAAACGGGACTCGGCAAAGTCTCGGCCAGGGATGCGTTACGGAAAAGAAAATGGTGTTTGCAATAGAGATGATGATTGTCGCAAAAAAAAAAGGAATTTGGAATGCGGGATCAGATGCCTCTTTCCAGAAGCTGTAACAACGATGCTTTCCTTTCCGTCTTGAAATTCGGAATCCATGGAAATAAGTAGTTTTGGTTTTTGCTTCTGTTTTTCTTTTCACAGGAGAAGAAGCAGCCTTCTGTACAGTGTGCCGACAACAAATGTGAGTGGCGCCAAATCTGAGACAACTGAAAAAGGTACACACCGAATTTGAAGAAAACGAAATCTGGGAAAACTTCTGTCAAGAGAGTGATGTGGGTTGTATTGTTACAAGCTAAACATTCAGCTGGCATTTCGGTTAGTCATCTTGTTCACTACCTCGGTCATTACTTATGTTTTGATTTCTCAAGAACAAATTCTCTACCGTAGTTTTGCCGCTGACAAGGAGCCGTCCCACAATATTTCAACAACAACACGCAACAATTAACCCCATTGAAACTGGGCACACGCAGTGCATCCCAGGCCAAAGAGTGGGGAAGCATTCTACATCGAACGTATTTGATCTCACGCACACCATGCACCCAAACAATATTCCTTTTGATTGTGGTGGCATCAGCCCCTGGTAATTTTGATGCGAGAGCAGTTATTCGAAGAACAAGGGGAAGTGATATGTATCTGGAAAAACGATGGACAACCGTGTTTTTAATCGGCCAAGCCAAAGATAGGAACCAGAATGATTATTTGGACGCTGAAGCTGTGATATACGGAGACGTTATACGAGGGAGTCACAACGATCATTACCACAATCTAACTCTGAAGACACAAATTGGTATAGAGTGGGCAGCAAGATACTGTGATTTCAGATTTCTGTTGAAAGTGGATGACGACGTCTTTGTCAGCCCTCGAAACCTGATTGGTTATCTGAAAAGGCCTGAGACCCCAAACGCCAACCTTTATATGGGATATTGTTTCTACAACGCACGTGTATACCGTTTTGGTAGATATGGTGTATCCAAGGAAGAGTACAATAAAACTAAATACCCAGATTACTGCAACGGACCAGCATATCTATTGTCATCAGATCTGGTAGACAAGCTTGCAGAATTGCTTGACACCAAGAATGTATTTAAAATGGAGGACGTTTACGTAGGATTATTACTAGAGAACATAGGGGGTGTGAAAGCCACTCATCTAACTCGACGACATTATTCATGCTCTCACTTCCCAAATATGTTTGCCTATCACAACTCGGATCACCGCTTAAAGTGCCTGGAGGAACTGTTTGAACAAGAGACAAAGAAAATGTTTGAGTACGAACTAAATGAACTTTCCAAAGTCAAAGCGTAGATAATGTAAAAACTTTGGAAATGGCAACATTTTTATTGTGTGGGGTTGTTAAGGTAACTCGTTAGCTACACGAGAAGGTATCGAGACTCTCATTCTTTCATCTTGACTTTAACACCGAAAATACTGCAAATCTCATAAAGAGTCACCAGCTGGCACCCATTGCGAGGGTGTAAATTAACCGCCTGCATCTATTCTGATTTTCGCGGCGGAAAATGGTCAGTGTGACACGATCTCCAATGACCCTGAAAGAGAAATACTTCAGTGGAGATAAACTTAGCCTCCCACGCAGGCATTTTTAGGGGAGCTCGTATTTCTTCCCTCCCCGGGAGGGAAGAAATACGAGCTCTCCTAAAAACGCCTACGTGGGAGGCTAAGATAAACTAGGAAAAGAAAACAAAACACCCAAAACTTAACTTATCTCTTGGCAGTGAAGTTTTTTCTGTCCATTATCTCCTCTTCGATGAAGGCACGGACTTATGCGCAATTAAATTTTGTAAACTGAAATTACAGCAACATCAGAAATAGCCTGCGAGCAAGCTCTCCTATTTGGGCGAGAAAAACGAGTCTCGCGAGAACGCGCGAGCGAGCGGCGAAGCCTCGCTCGCGCGTTCTCGCGAGACTCGTTTCACTCGCCCAAATAGGAGAGCTTGCTCGCAGGCTACAACAGAAAAGCCATGTACATTCGAGCGAGCCACATATCTGCCTATTCCTTCTATCTTCGGCTTCTCTTCAACGATTTGAAGATCTCAACTGTAATTTCTAATTGAGTGTATTTTGTTTCTTATTCATCCTTCTTTCCTTTTTGCGTATTTATCCTATTTATTTTATGTCAATCATGCATGCGCGCTCGTATGGCCTATTTTAATCAAATGTTTTTCGTTAAGGGAATGAAAAATATTTTACTCTTTAATCTAATACTATGCACGCTATCAGCTTTGGTCGGCTTTAGGTGATCGAACATTAGTAATTACAATACCCACGGTCGCTAAAAGCCTTCCGCGGAAACAGGGTGTACGACACTGAGACCTCTTTGGGTGAGCCAATCATAGAGAGTTCCCAAATTTTATTTTTTCACCGCATGACGCTTTGTTTCCCCGCATGTTCTTTTGTATGGTCGCAACGCGAAGTAAACCCCAACATGCCTTCTCTACTAGCCCTATGGATAAATCCCCCTAAAACCGTCTGTAATCCTCACGAATTACAAACACGTTTCTGCAACATAATTGACTGAATTGACATTAACATTTCTCGCTTGGCTGAAAGCAGGAACATAAAACGGATAAATCTGAACTTACCAGACTAACGCTATAAGACACAGTCACTGTCTTTTTTTTTGTCAACTGAAAGAAGATGTGAAAAAAATGCAAATTCCCTCTATTTCCTTAACAAACATTCCTCATCTTACATGACAACCCCAATGTTGCTAAGGAGACAAATCAGTGGCTTGCTGTAAACAAAATTAAATTAATAAATCAGCGCCTCTCCTGGCCTCGCCTCTCCGGTAGACATTCTTAGAATAGGGAGCTTTAGCATTGACGACGGCGACGGCAGCGAAAACGTCACTTTTAAAATGAATTCGCGCTTTTTCAAACTTTGTCGCGCTTATTCCAATTCCCTGAAAATGTCAAATGCAAGAAAATTTCCCTGGAGCTGATTTCTTGGGGACCACACTCAAGTTTTGAAAGAGAAAGAACAATAAGTTGTCGCCTGTTTACGTCCACCATAAAACGTGAAATTAGGCATTTTCACTTCGTAGTCGTGCAGGGACCGCAAAGAAATGTACAAAAAAGCGTGATGCATGTACAAAGTTGTTGTTTTTTTAATCAAACCTATTGCTTTTGCGACGTTCTCGCTGCCGTCGCCGTCGTCGTTGCTAAAGCTCCCTAATGTCTGCGGGGAGGCTACTCCCTGGCCTTACTTTATGACCTAGGTGAGTGAGTTATTAACTTTCTTCCCGCTCCTGAAATTTTCAAAACAGAAACATCACGAAGTAATTTTAACATTTTCAAGGCGTGGAAAGAGAAGAAGGCCATGGTGGAGAATAAAATGGACAATAAAATGTCTGGATAGTTGCAACAATAAAGATACCCGCAAAAAACATGACAACTTTCTTTAATTTACCAGACTTGTTTCGACTATACATCCTTCACCACAGGTGGCCCAAGCGTAATATAGGCCACCTGTGGCGTAATACATCTGACCTGACAGTGTAATAATAAGAGTCTCTTATTATTACACAGACAGGTCAGATGATGTTAAAGTACTTAAATCGCGCTGAAACTTCGTAAAAACAAAGACAACGACTCCAGGTAACAATATTTACACTTTATCGATAACTTTTATCGCTTTTACTTTATTTATTTCATCTAAGTTTGAAACTCTATTTTTCCCGTACAAACTCTCATATTACGCCACCACAGGCCCATATTACGCTTGGGCCACCTGTGGTTTCACCTGCTGGTTGAGGTCGGGTTTCTCTCATTTTATGAACATCGACTCTTTGAGCTTCACTTGGTATTTAGTAGCTGCAGAGTCCAGGAACTGGAAGTAGACCGGTGTGCAGGATGTTCGGCAAGACTCTGCCCTCTGCAGATGTCTAAAAACGTTCGAAGACCTGTCGGAAAGGTAATGCTCACGCACTCGTGTGAAGAAATATCACCAACATAACAAGCATTACAACTTACACACGAAAATTTATAAACCACCCAGGTGCAAAGCCTCTCAGGGACAGCATCTTTTACTTTAAAAAGATTCTTGATTTTGAAAGTAGTAGAGACAAGCCTTATACCAATCGGTTTACATGATTGATTAGCAAGTTTGCCTGGTTTGCGAATACTTCTCTGTGCCGTGACTGAGAAATTCCCAACGACAGGGATTTTAAAATAGAACTTAGGTGTTTCCTGGGGCTCGACTCCTGATTAAGGTTGACAATAAAATGGGATTGATTAACACAAAAACCTTTGTTTATGTTAAAGTTAGCGACAAAAAAGACGTAGAGGAAAGAAATATCCCTTATCCCGAATTTACTTACTAAAGCTCATCATGTGAAGTATAGACAAGAGTATAGGAAAGTGAAAATGACAATAACTAATTTTTTCTCTACCTTTTATGGGTTTTTGTCATAGATAATGAGAAATAAGGACTAAAATAATCAGAGGAACTAGTCAAGTCAACGTTCAAAACATTTAACTCTGAGGAACCTGTTATGTTCTAACGTTTTGACAATGAATTCGTAAATCTGAACATGTAATTGATACTAAAAAATCTTCGGATAGCTTTAAAGCAAAAAAGTAGACAACTGTGTATTTTGTTTAACCTCGGGTACTAAAATCCTTTACATAGCAACCCTACGGTAGTTATGTTCTCGAAGAATGTTTGCTAAATTTTAATTATTGGCAACCATTTTGTTAAAAAAGACGGCGGCGCTGAAATTTGTCTTGGTTGGTGAGTTGAAATTGCTCTTTTTTACATCCTTTCACATAAGACTTTATGGATAATAGTGTGTGCTGAATACTAGTATTTCTTGCAGCTAAGATATTTTTTAATAATTTATTGTAAACACTTTGTTGTGCATTTTGTTAAGATGTCGCTTATAAGTCCTGGCCTTATACATCTTCAGTAAAGGGTTTAAAGAGGTGGTATAAGCGGAGTGGCTTATATCCGAGGGGGGTTTATAACCAGAACAAAACCCTTGGAAAAAAGCTATGGCAGTTTCATTTACTGATTTTAAATTAAGCTTCCAAACGTCATAATAAATCAAATTCAGGTTGGATGGCTTACAAGAGTCTTATAATTGGAGGTAGAAGGGGGCTTCTATTCGAATCAAGAACGAGAAATCCAAAGACCACTGCAAAGCTGATTCAGAACAACGTGTATTGTTTTTTAAACATAACAATATCTCGGCTGGTCATACCAGCCTTCTTCAGGTTTACAGATGTTAATTTAATCATTTTCTATTTAAATGAATTTTATGTTACAAGTAGGTGGGCCCATATACAGCCCTATATATAGGACTAGGGGCTTTTAAGAGGGGAAGCTTATAAAAGGCAGTTTAAGGTACTTTCATTTGGGGCGGTAGCCTACGTGTAGCCGCACCCTCCCCCCATTGACTAAGGAAAAACGGAGAGCGGAGGGGGGGAGGGTTGCGACTACATGTAGGCTATTAGAGCGGCGGCTCGTTCCCCCCACTACATCATAGTTTTATTTTTTTTTATGTTTATGGAGAATATTTCCAACCGAGATAGTTTGTCTAAATAGTAAGTCCCCTTAAGAACTAGGTTTCGGTTTTTAACAGTTTAACAGTTTAATCCTGCATATGTAGAGAGTTTTCACTCATGTGGTAAGCAGATTAGCGCCTTTCAGAGTCTCTTCGCACCTCTCTGTTTGTGTGAGTGTGTGCCTTTGATCGTGAAAAAAAAAGCTCAGAGTAGAAAGGCGCAAAAAAAATAAAAGCTCACTCATTCAATTGTCAGGATTCGGAACCGCGCTTCTCCACCAGCTGTTAGCTTCGCGTGCCGGAAACTTCACCACGCATCCAAGGAAACAAAATACAAGATACATTTGATCTCTGAATATTATCAGTCGCGATCACGCATCCCACCGTCTGAAAAACCAACACTTCTCACGCGATCTCAAGTACAAATAACGGGAAAAAAAGAAACCTGTGAAGCTAATCGTGCAAACATATTTGTGTGTAACTATAACTGTTTATTAATTGTGGCAAAGTTTACAGAAAGCAATATCCACTGCCCGCAGTTAGCAGATTAGCTTGTCGCGGCGAGCAGTGGTTACACTTATGTAATATATATACAAATAGATCACAAGAAAGACTAGAGAAAAAGAGTAAAAAAAAATGTTAAATAAATAAACAAATAAATAGAAATAAATTTAATTTCGTTAAGTTTACAATCATGTACATTGCAAATATTAGAAGCCGAGCTTTTAGGAAATTTTTATTATTAAGTCGGGTAAATCAATATAATCATTTTCTTCTGAAAGTATTCGGAGTAAAGTGTCCTGGACATTAATTTTAAGGTTATTTTTGGACACTTAACGCATTTCACGGTAAACTATTCCAGATTTTTACACCATATCTTGAAAGAGACTTCGTTTGTCTAACCTTGAGTGTTTGACATAATAGTCACCTCTTGAAGATGATCTTGTATTATATGAACGAATAAGTTAGACATGTTAGTAGGTGTTAAGCTGTTAGATGTATCATGTATTAGAATAGCAACGGATTTAAAGTAGAGTAGATCCATGGATAATAGGAAGACCCAGTCTTTCTATGATATCCATGGTAGATCTAAGGGAAGAAAAATAAGGTACTGCATGAGAATTGTAGTCACCAAAGAACATAAGGCGGAGGGCGCGTTTTTGAAGAATGAGAATTTTGTTTATGTAAGTTTTAGCAGCATGGCCCCAAGCGACTATGCCATTCAGTAAGTAGGGCTGAATAAGAGATATGTATATCTGGTGTAGAGTATTCAGGGGTGCAAAGTGTCTAAGGCTGGCAATAACGCCAATTATCATTCGAAGCAAATTGTTCTTTCTTTTCATTGGCCAAGAGCCCACCACGTGTCCTGCAAATAACTACCTACAAATAATGGTCTGCTCATGCGCAATGCCGTCCAACTGTGTTTGGCTGCAAATAATATTCTGCACATGCGTAAAGGAAACCGTGCCTTTCTCCTTATTGCGATCGCTCTTGCGTGAAAATGGCAGATCGCTTCGCTTCTCGAGGATACTCATTAAAAAAACAAAGTCGGTGATCGAATGATAAAACAATTATTGAACTCGGTTATCGCAAAATATCGTGATTTGTCAGTGTCTCGCAGATCAATTATTTCCCGAAGTCGAATTGATCTGCTCGCCACAGACAAATCACGATATTTTGCTCAACCTCGTCCAATGATTGCTAATTGTTTTACTTATTTTTGAAGCGATGTGAGCGATATGGTATTTCCAATAAATATTTTCATCAATAAGCACACCTAGATATTTGACATAATTTTTGCTTTTAAAAGAAATGTATGAGTTGTTTTGATGATCAAATACTTTCAAGTTGACTTGGTGATTTAACTTTTTTTTTGTCTTTGTCTAAGAATGACAAAGTTAGATTTTTTTATATTTAGTGATAATTTATTTGCGATTAGCCAGTTATAAACCCTAAAAATTTGTGCATTAACTGTAGATTCAAGCAATTTGAGATTTTCGTCAGCATATAACAAATTGGTATTATCAGCAAATAAGTAGAACTTCAATTTATCAGAGCTGTTACATATATCATTTATATAAATAAGGAATAGTAAGGGTCCTAGGACCGATCCCTGTGGGACACCTGATAATACTACTTCCTTCTTGGATATGTTTTTAGGACCAATTTTTGTCGTTTGTAGACGACCCACTAGGTATGATGCAAACTAATCATTAATCATTCCACGTACTCCATAATGATTTAATTTTCTTAATAATATTGAATGATTTGCTGTGTCAAAGGCTTTTTGCGAGTCAATGAACACACCACATGAGTACAACTTTTTATCCATGTTAGCTTCAGTTTTATTAATTATGTCTAAAATAGCATGCTCAGTAGACTTTTTTTACACGAAAACCATATTGTGAAGCATGACGAATGTTGCACTTCTCATTAAATGACTTGAGGCGATTATACATTATCTTTTCGAAGATACGGTTAAAGATGGAGAAGAGTGATATGGGTCTATGATTGGAAGGGTCAGTTTCATCACCACTTTTATAAACTGGAATTACTTTGGCAAGCTTTAATTTAGATGGATAGGTTCCAAATTCTATTGATTTACTGATGATCATAGATAGAGGTTGGCTTATAATATGTTTAGCCAATCTTAAAATCCGAGTGGGAAATGAATACGACCCTTGTGCCTTGTTTAGTTGAATTGTCATTACTTCAGAATCAATTTCACAAGGAGATGCAGGGTTAAAAAAGAATGAACTAGCAAAGTCTAAGTTTGGTAGATAACCAGTAAATTGCTTTGGTGAATTTGCTTTGGTGAATTTTCTTTTGTACAAAAACAAAAATAAAGTAGAAGGAGCGTGACCGTCAAAAACATCTTTTCTTCAATGGCCGACTGTCGTGATGTCTAGTGTGCAGCCCGACTAATAAAGGCAAGTAGAATCTTTGTGGCTGCACGAAAAAGGCTAATTGACAGTGAGAACTCAAGGGGTCCTTCTTGGCTTTTTGATTGTCATCGAAGTCGAGCCCGCGATATAAAAAAGGGGCTGCCAGTCCGAAATCCGCCAGCTGCTTTTGCAAATTAATTGGCGCCAAAAAAGGGCGCACTTTTTAGTTTAATTTCTTTCTTTGAGTCATTCGGCATATATTACATTCCACATAATTATGTCATTCCGCAAGCCATGCCACATGCCATTCCGCAAACTCATTCAACCTTTTACCGTCACTGGGAAAACTACGCGGATCAGAGAAAAGAACCGGCAACAAACATTGCGATTGGTCTACTCTAGATTCTCTTGCCGGGAATAGATGTTCTTCATTTCAAGCAAATGCATTCATTTTGGGGTCTGGTTCCTGTTTATAAAAATTCCATTCGGTTTTGCCTAAGTGGCCATGTGTGTGAAACTCTATATTTTTTCCTCGTAGTGTAGTTGCTTTAATAGTTATTAATTGCGGGAACGCCTTTTGCAAAAGTTAACAACAACAATAAGCTTTATTTGCATGACTATAAAAAACTGCTACAGTATTGCAAAAGCTACAGACCAAAAATTGTTGATAACGTTTTATGTTGATTACAATGGCTTATACTAAAATAAAAACCTAATGTTTTCTAAACAAAGTCAAGGGAAACACTTGGACTCGAGAGAAAACAAAACTGTTTCCTTCAAAACTTGGCATAAAGTGTATATTCTTCCATATGGAGTGAAAGCGAAACCGTCCCAGAGACTTGAATGAATGAAACGATGACAAAAACTATCGCTTTTAATAAAAAACCTTTAATAAAAGGACGAACATCTTAACTCGTGGGCGGGGAAACCGTTAGAAAGAGACCTTGCCCGAGATTGTAACAACATTTGATGAACTGAACCTGACTTGTTCAATCAAATCTGTATAATTGAAAGTGTTTTCCTGGGAGTTAAAGTTACTGCAAATCACCTCCATAACCATAACGTACTCAGACAGCGGCACCCAACGACTCTTTTCTGTAAAATATCTGTTCGGAAAAGCAAATATTGCCTTGACCTTTCTATTACTTGAGAACAGCTAAAAATTTCTAGACGAACATCCCCTTCATTTACAAGTTTCTAAGCTTATCCGATAAATTCCCCATGATTTTCTGAAGTCAAATTTTTTACATTTTACTTCCCACGTTAGGCTATTTTTCGTATAAAAAAAGGAACCCTAAAATTTTCGGATTCGAAAATTTGAGTGAGAGAGGAATCAGAAAATGTTCATTTTCGTGATACGTTACCGGTAAATTGCATCTAAAAATTTCGAGAGAAAGATAGTGGAGCAATTGTAACTTCGAAAAGACTTAAGTTCGCCCAGAATGACCGAACAGATACAAATTTTATAGCGCGCCTAGAATGCAGTTTCTAGAGCTCTGGATAGCCTAAAAAGTGTTTTCAATGTATTTAGGAAAAAACCGTCGTTGGTGCCCCTGATCAGATTGATGATCGTGATGTTTAGCTTTTGAACATACTCCTTTGTTTCGCACTTAGGGCTCCTACCAAAAAAATATCTGATTCATTCACCAGCAACTGGAATCGTAACACTCTTTCTCGCTTTAACCCATCAAAGCTCTATAAGCGAGTAGACAACAAATTCATGAAGAGTCAGCATATAACACAACACATAGCAAAATGGGAAATGGTTACTTAGCTCAAAGAGGACAGCGGATTCTGACAAAAACAAATCTTCGTAACGTACTACTCATTGGAGTTTTATCGAGCGTGCTGCTTGTTACATATTATCTACTTCAGAGCTCTCGACGACATCACAAGAATGATATAAGCTGGAAAATAAATCCATATTTCACCAAACAAGAACCTTATCGTCGACGTTTCTCATGTTTGCTCTCTCGCAAACGTTGCGACCAAAACGCATTCCTATTCATCTTGGTGCTTTCTGCCCTGCTAACTCGGACAGGAGAACAGTCATTCGGAGGACTTGGGGAATGATCGATCACTCAAATGAGATGGAAGACCGTGTTTCTCGTTGGTCAAACTTTAGACAACAACAATCAGAGTGAAAATATGGCCGCCGAGGGTACGACATACGGAGATATCATACGAGGAAGTCACATTGACCATTATTACAATTTAACTCTGAAGACGCAAATGGGTCTCGAGTGGGCGGCAGGATATTGCGATTTCAGTTATCTCCTCAAAGTGGATGATGATGTATTTGTTAATCCCTATAACTTGTTGGACCACCTGAAAAAGCCTGACACCCAAGTAACTAACCTTTACATGGGACGCTGTTTCCACAACGCGCCTGTTCTACGTGTTGGCAAGCACCGAATGACCAGAGAAGAGTACAGTGAGTCTACTTTTCCAACTTACTGCAACGGGCCAGCGTATTTGTTATCGTCAGATTTAGTCCACAAATTAGTGGAATTATTTGACACTTATACCCCTTTTAGACTCGAAGATGTTTATATAGGCATGTTAATACGTAAAATAGGTGGAGTTGAGGCTGTAGGTCACTCAGGCTTTCGCACTCAGGAATTTGGTGAGCCGTGCAAACATTTTCCAAATATGTTTGCTTATCACGAAGCTTCCGTAAAGTGTTCGGAGGAATTGTTTGAAGAAGGGATCAAAGAGAGACTAGCTTTAGAATTTAGCAAATTGGGAAATGCTACAGGCTAAAATGGTTTGAAATAAGCAGAAAATAACGATTTAGCGGTGATCTACTTAGAAGATGACAAAGAAGAACATTTAAACCAGGATTTTGATAGCAAATTAAACCCAATTAGGACAAGTTGTGATAGAAGCAGTAGTAGAAGCAGCGTAATAGTTAATAACTTCCTAAAACAGAATCAGTTAGAATCGACAAAGAATACTATTCTATTGGTCCAATTGAATTGGACCAATCAGGGGTGCTTTTAGCTTGAAGAACGATCTTGACAACGCTTAGAAAAAAAACCTCTTACGAAGAAATATTATTTCTGTTAATAGTGTCAATTGTAATAATAATAATAATACTTATACTATTACTACTTCTATCAATAATAATAATAATGACGATGATGGTTTACTAATAGCATTTTCATTACAACATAGCTCTACATGTGTTAGGAAATATAATGCCATAGTTTATGCAAATGCAAATAAGCATTATGTTAAAAATAATCAATGAATAATTAAATTCTCAAATGCGGCTTCTGTGCTTATGCCTATGACTGATTTCTTCATGTGGGTTCAAAAAACATAACTAACAAACAAACTACATAAATAAACAAAGACTTAGAAGTAACACGTCCCCTCAGTCCAGTTGTTGTTGTTTTCTTCTATCTGCTTTCTGGTCGAATTGGAACTTCGAGATGTTAGTTTTTGAGAAAAGGGGAAATAATAATAATAATAATAATAATGGAATTTATATAGCGCTTATACATCGCTGTTCTAAGCGCTTTACAATGTAAAAAAGGACATAAGGATATCATTAAGCACAAGCTTACATATAACCCTACTGTACATATTGGGAAATTTATAGCATACACATCTTAAAAAGGAAAGAAAACAAAAACAAATATGATGAAACTAGATGTCATATACCTTTTTAAAAAGAAACGTTTTCAACTTCGATTTAAAAAGATTAACATCAGAACAACCTCGGATTTCAAAGGGGAGCTTGTTCCAAAGAAATCCGGATTATACAGAAAAAAAAGACACTCTCGAAGCAAAGGAGAGAACCAGCAACAAACGTAACCCACACATGGCGTCGATGCCTGCTTTTTGGGCGTAGGTCACATAGGTCGGAGGTGAGCGCTCTCATCACTGCGAAATGGAGCAAGCTAGGGTGGCGTACATTCGATATGAGCAAGAAAGATTGATAGAAGGAAAGCTATAAAATGTGCTCATCGAACCTCAGACAGTACAAGCTGCTACTGTTCCTCACTTTTACAGGAAAGCGTCGTTACAACGATTCGACGTTAAAGAAAAAAAGAAACAACAGGAAATTAACAGTTGAATATTATATTAAGGTTCTGGAAGAGAATTATCGGACTCCGGGATTTTACCGAAGTACATACGTGTATAAACGCAACATTTATTGACTGGATAGGGAGTTCCCAATAGGGTTCTTCAATCCCGTAATCCCGACTCCACATTTCGTGCAATCACGTAATCCCAATGTTTCTTTTTTTTCGGCATGCCACCTCCAGCGATAGTTTCAATCCCGAATCTCGCCCGGATTTTTTCTTTAAAATCCCGAATCCCGAGATTCAAACAAGAGAATTCCCGGATCCCGAAAGATCTCTTAAACACTATCTGGGTAGGGATTTTGCCGGTCGGAAAACGGGACTCGGCAAAGTCTCGGCCAGGGATGCGTTACGGAAAAGAAAATGGTGTTTGCAATAGAGATGATGATTGTCGCAAAAAAAAAATGAATCTGGAATGCGGGATCAGATGCCTCTTTCCAGAAGCTGTAACAACCATGCTTTCCTTTCCGTCTTGAAATTCGGAATCCATGGAAATAAGTAGTTTTGGTTTGTGCTTCTGTTTTTCTTTTCACAGGAGAAGAAGCAGCCTTCTGTACAGTGTGCCGACAACAAATGTGAGTGGCGCCAAATCTGAGACAACTGAAAAAGGTACACACCGAATTTGAAGAAAACGAAATCTGGGAAAACTTCTGTCAAGAGAGTGATGTGGGTTGTATGTTACAAGCTAAACATTCAGCTGGCATTTCGGTTAGTCATCTTGTTCACTACCTCGGTCATTACTTATGTTTTGATTTCTCAAGAACAAATTCTCTACCGTAGTTTTGCCGCTGACAAGGAGCCGTCCCACAATATTTTCAACAACAACACGCAACCATTAACCCCATTGAAACTGAGCAAACGCAGTGCATCCCAGGCCAAAGAGTGGGGAAGCATTCCACATCGAACGTATTTGATCTCACGCACACCATGCACCCAAACAATATTCCTTTTGATTGTGGTGGCATCAGCTCCTGGTAATTTTGATGCAAGAGCTGTTATTCGAAGAACATGGGGAAGTGATACGTATCTAGAAAAACGATGGACAACCGTGTTTTTAATCGGCCAAGCCAAAGATAGGAACCAGAATAATTATTTGGACGCTGAAGCTGTGATATACGGAGACGTTATACGAGGGAGTCACAACGATCATTACTACAATCTAACCCTGAAGACACAAATTGGTATAGAGTGGGCAGCAAGATACTGTGATTTCAGATTTCTGTTGAAAGTGGATGATGACGTCTTTGTCAGCCCTCGAAACCTGATTGGTTATCTGAAAAGGCCTGAGACCCCAAACGCCAACCTTTATATGGGATATTGTTTCTACAAGGCACGTATATACCGTTTTGGTAGATATGGTGTATCCAAGGAAGAGTACAATAAAACTAAATACCCAGATTACTGCAACGGACCAGCATATCTATTGTCATCAGATCTGGTAGACAAGCTTGCAGAATTGCTTGACACCAAGAATGTATTTAAAATGGAGGACGTTTACGTAGGATTATTACTAGAGAACATAGGGGGAGTGAAAGCCACCCACCATTCAGAATTTCTAACTCGACGACATTATTCATGCTCTCACTTCCCAAATATGTTTGCCTATCACAACTCGGATCACCGCTTAAAGTGCCTGGAGGAACTGTTTGAACAAGAGACAAAGAAAACGTTTGAGTACGAACTAAATGAACTTTCCAAAGTCAAAGCGTAGATAATGTAAAAACTTTGGAAATGGCAACATTTTTATTGTGTGGGGTTGTTAAGGTAACTCGTTAGCTACACGAGAAGGTATCGAGACTCTCATTCTTTCATCTTGACTTTAACACCGAAAATACTGCAAATCTCATAAGAGTCACCAGCTGGCACCCATTGCGAGGCTGTAAATTAACCGCCTGCATCTATTCTGATTTTCGCGGCGGAAAATGGTCAGTGTGACACGATCTCCAATGACCCTGAAAGAGAAATACTCCAGTGGAGATAAACTTAGCCTCCACGCAGGCATTTTTTTGGGGGAGCTCGTATTTCTTCCCTCCCGGGAGGGAAGAAATACGAACTCTCCTAAAAACGCCTACGTGGGAGGCTAAGATAAACTAGGAAAAAAAACAAACACCGAAAAATGAACTTATCTCTTGGCAGTGAAGTTTTTTTTGTCCATTATCTCCTGTTCGATGAAGGCACGGACTTATGCGCAATTAAATTTTGTAAACTGAAATTACAGAAACAACAGAAATAGCCTGCGAGGAAGCTCTCCTATTTGGGCAAGCGAAGGGAGCCTCGCGAGAACCCGCTCGCTCGCGCGTTCTCGCGAGACTCGTTTCACTCGCCCAAATAGGAGAGCCTTCTCGCAGGCTACAACAGAAAAGCCATGTACATTCGAGCGAGCCACATATCTCCCTATTCCTTCTATCTTCGGCTTCTCCTCAACGATTTGAAGATCTCAACTGTAATTTCTAATTGAGTGTATTTTGTTTCTTATTCATCCTTCTTTCCTTTTTGCGTATTTACCCTATTTATTTTATGTCAATCATGCATGCGGGCTCGTAGGGCCTATTTTAATCAAATGTTTTTCGTTAAGGGAATAAAAAATATTTTACTCTTTAATCTAATACTATGCGCGCTATTGTATTTCACTCGGGTTATATTCATTAAATCAGCCCCCCGCCCCCCCCCGCTGCAACATCAATTCATTAGGTAAACATTCCAACTCAGTGCTAGTCCGCTATCCCATCTGGCAATGATGTCCGTAAAAGTCGTACCGGATAACCGCGGATGCCGGGTGCGGAATCGGATACGGATGGAAAACAACCTCGTCCCCAGGGCTTTTCCCTAAAAATTTTTTTTTAGGGAAAAGCCCTAGGGTCGAGGTTGGATAGAAAAAGGCTGATAAGAATTGATATGGCTATCGAAAAAAAAATACAGGTAAAAAAGCACAAGTAAGGAGAATGAAACGAAAATCGGATAGCGAAAAAGCAAAACAAAAGCAACGAAGAAAAAGGAAAGAAATCTTGCTTTAAAGTTACTGTCTCTTCAAGCATAGAACGCGATGTCAACAGTTGTCATGGTTGTCACAGGTTCAAGGTATTGTCTCGGTATTAAGCTTGCGTGAGTGCACGCATGCTCTGACGCACCTCATCTTTGAGCACCTAACAAAACACTTGCAGGTAGAGTGAACAGCCCAAAAAATCGGCCAAGAAAGATTCGCCTGTTTTGCGCTTGCTTTGTTTAACGTCCCTTTTCCGAATATGAAGCCCTGCAGGCTGCAGCCACTAGGACACAATGCAGAATATTACTGGACAGGAATCCGTCACAGTTATGGCCCGGGGGGGGAGGGGTACTCAACAACTTTTTATATTGGGAGGGTGCGCCCCGAGGTTCAACCCCTTACCCTTTTGTATACCATTTTTTCACGAAAAAAGGTACCCCTTTCGTATACCTTCTATTGACAAATGGTACCCTCTCACATACCTTGTATAGAACCAAGAGAGGATCCTCTCTCGTTAGAACTTTGTATCCCTTTTTACCACTGTCAATGCACGGTCTTTTGAATAGTTATCGGTCACCAAAAAAGAATCTGTTAGCCCTTTTAGGCCCTTCCACAGACCCAATTGACAGATTTTCCTATCCTTTCGTATACTGCAATGAGTAAAATCCCTACCCTTTCCTATACCTGAGGCATAAAAAAGGTACCCGGTTCGGACGGAGCCTCCCATTTAGCAACAGAACGAGAACGTCATTTGACGACGGGAAAGCGCGCGGTAAGGACTAAACTCGACTTCCCCTTCCTAATTTGCCGCTGTGCCATTGGTCAAGCCAGTTAGCTCCAGTTGTTTGATTTGCACGCGCCGTCGTCAACTGACGTTCCTGTTCTGTGAGAGTACACCCCCGGGGGTTATGGGCTCCTGTACTAGATCAGATCGTTCCATTTTTGGAACGTTACTTTGGAAATTTAATGGCACCTTCTGCTGAGCGATGAACTGTCATAAATTTATGCAGGGTCATATTTCTTTATTCCTCGGTATTGAAATAAAAGACGAGTTTCCTGCTTGACGCAACGACCTTCCTCTCTTAACTTTTAACGGCAAAGAAACATCAGAGACATTTGATAGTGCTAAAAGGAAAGGAGAAACAATTACCTTAAGAAGCAGAATGGTTAATTCTATAGTTTTACGCGTTGTTCAAGTTGTCAGCATCATCTACAATCCATGCCTAAAGTCCAGTCCATTCCTGCATTTTTCACGGGATCATTTGCGGTCGACAATGCAATGGGGATCACTTGGGGTCCAATTTGGGGATCATTTGAGGTCTGGGGATCATTACTCGTTCCACAGACATTTGCGCAGTCTAAATGAACGAGTAGCCAATCAGAGTTCCCCAAAAAACAGCAACCTCGTTTCCAGTACGAGGGGCCTCGTTCGGTCACGGTAAACACACGCCACCACACCGAACATCTGAGTGACTTGGTGCGCGCTGTTCCATGAAACTTGCCCTGAAGTCGAGATTCTGAAATCGTTTCTGAACGGAGCGCTTACACGAGGCCGATTCTACCGAGGAAAAGCAAACATTCATTGATGGTGAGTGGAATTTAACCTTTATTTTGTAGGGTGATTTGAACACAAACCTGGTTCGTTGTTCAGCTGAGTCGCTGGTTGTGGTTTTCCAAGTGACGGAATGTTCTTATGTAAAATGAACATAAAGATATGTTTAGAGGACTTATTGTCTTTTTGCTGCTCAGGGATTGTTTAATGCTTAATTTTATCTAGTCATTACGCTTGTTGGTCGCGGTCATTTTATTAAGGGTTATTGTGAAGCGCTGCCGAGTGTCTGCAATGCAACCCCGGGGGTTCGCCGAATTTCCCGAAAGTCAATTCACCCTGTTAATTGCATTGAGAGGCTGATTTAACGACAGAACTCTCTGAGTAAAAATAGCAATTTTGAGGTCACTCAAAAAAAAATCATCTAAATCCAGGATTGAAACTAAATATATGGCTTGTAATATACCATTTTAAAGCTAATTTAATTTTCTAGCTGATGGATCATAGTATTCCATATTTCTCCATAAATTATGCTAATTAATTCGATAAATTTGCATTATTAAGGTCGTTTTTTCCTTTGTTGCCTGACAAGTTGCCATAAAACATCACAAACTTATGAGGAAAATCGAAAAATTCTTGCATTTTATACGAAATATAATTGGCAGCAATTTTTAAAAGATATTTTTCTGCCTGTGGTATTGTTCATGACAACCAGAACGACATAAAGGCTTAACACAGGTTCTGCAGCCAAATCCAGTTTCTTTGCGCTTTGCTCCTTTTACACTGATGCAACAGTGGTGGCATCTTCCAAACTTGAGAAGCCCCAACTCAACGAGATTGACAGAATCATGCTCTCTTCCATGAAAAGGAGTGGGATGCGGTGCTGCTGGTGGGCCAGGCTAACGATGGCAAGAAAAATTTCCAATCAAGTTGTGGATGATTCCAGACATAAATTTGTCATGTTCAAGTGGCTTTGGGGGCTTTTCCGGTGCTGGCATGTTCATATTTTTGAAATTTTCCTTGTAGATAATGTATGCATTCACCATGATTGCACCCAAAAAGTTCACAAACATTCTTACCCACCACCTCCTCGACTTACGGTCAATTGCATAGTTTCGCACTAACTGGTCATGCCTATCGACAGCACCCATATTCTTGTTGTAGTCAACTGCAGAGGGTCGGCAAGGTAAAATTGCATTTTCACCTCTTCTCAGTTTCCGAGATATTGTGCAATTACCATGAGAGGAGTGTATATTTGATAGGAGAGAGACATGTTTTGTGTCTTTCCACACTGTGCAAACTGTTGTTTTGCATGCCACAGTGTGAAAATCATCCCGATTCATCTGCTTTAGCAGGTTTTTATTCTGCAAAGCCTTTGGGTATTCTTTGCGGTTTGTTTTTATTGTCCCCACAACATTGATTGATGACTCCTTCAGCTCTTGCAATGGGGAATGCTGGTAAAGAAGTTGTCAATGTACACTACAGTGTCTTTGTCACGAAGTTGCATAACAGGGTCCGTAATTACTCGATGTGCTAAGCCTCTCTGAGAATTTCTACCACTTTTCCCTGTACACACTTGAAAATCACACAGATATCCACATCATGAACAAACCAATTCTCAGGTTTTGGTGCTCTTTTTGATCGGTTTCATAGGAAGATATTGCTTGAAAGGATTTTTTCCTTTTCCTTTTACCATATGTTCATCGACACAAATGTGCTGGCCAATATTTGTAAGCTTGTTTGAATTTTTCTCTCATGACATTGATCATTGGCCGTAATTTGTACAGCTTATCATAGCCCTCATCAGTAGGAGCAGGTTGTCTTGAATTGTCAGCCAAATGAAAATTCTACCACAGTTGCCAGAATCTGTTTCTGGTAAAAACATTTTGTATTGCGGGAACAGCAAAAACCCAATCGCGAGAAAAGTAGTGATCAAAATTAGGTATCCTGGGTACAGCCATAAAAAATAGTGCTCCAACAAATGCTTTCATTTCATCTTTATTGGTATCATTGAACCAAGATTTTCTCTGTTTCTGAGCAACATAAATGTTAGTTTGTTCCACTAAAACATCCCAGAGTTCTTCCGGAAATAAAATACTGAAAAAAACATGTGGCTCAGACTCTGTAACTTGAATGGTGACAGGACCATGTTGTCCTCTAAAATCAGGAAATGAAACAA